CTTTTCAATTGGTGATTATTTTTTGCAACGTCATTTTGCATTTTTTAATGGTTGTTTTTTTAACAGTCGGTTTTAACTTTTGATTTCATGGAAATTTCGAATCTTCCTGGCTTTTTAAATTAAGAATATTTGTAAATGAATTGAACTCAATCTGTGTTTCCTAATAAGTATTATCAAATTTAAGAGAAAAACAAGGACAAAATGGACTTTTCTTGCTTGTTAATGAGCTTTAAAATCAGGAAGTCGGTAGACAAAACAGAACATTTGTTTACCAATTCTTCGTAATCCTCTATTTGCAAAAGTAGTTATCGATTTCAGCAAGCCTTAGTTATCTTCGAAATGATTGATATGAATACGTCACTTGTTTAAATCCACGTATTTCCAACAAATTGTTTAATTTAGACGTTTATGAGCTTTTTTGGATGTAATAACAACGAGTGGTAGTTATCAACTTATCTTAAAACATTTGTGTTACATTTGCTCTTTTATGGTATCTTACCGAATAATATCGAATAATAGTTTGGTATTGAATTACCAGGAAAGGTCAAATGAAAATGACATTTAAAAGTTAGTTTTTAATTGTTTTCAATGGGACATACTGTAGTCATGTTTTCACATATTTTACTTTCTGAAGATATTAAATATCTCAGAAGAACAGGTCTTTATTCACAGTTGGTTTCTATTGCTTCTAGATTTTTAAATGTAAAAGACACTAGCAAACTCTGTTCTCAGCAAAAAACACACATGATATAGTGTTTTTTGTTAGGGATAAACATTTATAGATTGCATACTTTATGTGTATAACGACTGAAAGGTGTAGAGTGACTAATTGTTATATTGAGATAAAATGACGTGTAATGCAGTCTAAAACTCCTAACTAAATGTTTTGTTTTTTCTACCATGTATCTCCTATCACATCGCCAACTCGGTAGTTCCATTTTATTAAATATAACTCAAATTTCTGCTGTTATAGCTGCTATTACCATAATTTAAATCATACTTTTGGTTTGACGATCTATACTGTCTATTTTTGCTTATGTATCTTCCACCAATAAAAAGCGATTGTGAATAAGTATAAGTTTAAACTGGTGTCAGTAATCTTCCATTTTCAGTTCCTTATTACAACAGTACAACCTGTATTTATGCATATATATATATCAAAATTTATCTGATGCAATTTTTGGACACATTCCTTTTTATCTTGAATGGATATTTATGTATTTTTTTTTTACGTGTGCGTATCATAAACTAGATAAAAGTTATTTCTAATGAGCATGATATCCTCTTTAGTTTATTGTGCTTTACTTAAATGATTCTGAGCTGTTTGTTCATCTTTTCTAATGTTTTAGTTTAACCATTCTTCAGTTTGTTTCACTTTCATCCACTCAGTTTTTTGTTTGTTTGTTTTCTTCACCTGTCTTCATAATGATAATAGTGACAAGCTTGCTTATATATTTACTTTATCGCTTATAATATCGATCGACCCTCAATTTGCCGTATCGAATACTGAAGGTTGTTATATATATATATATATATATATATATATATATATATATATATATATTACGTAACGCAAGGTTGATATATTTGTAGTAACTAACTGCAGTTCAAATTGGTATACATTTTAAATATTATTCAAAGCTAAAATTGAATGAATATGTTGTTTATGTGTACATAGGAGTGAGTGTATTAAATTTTTCGTCCTGAGTTTTGTTTATTGTTTCCTTTTCCCTGATTTTTGGAACGTTTTCTTTTTGGTATATCACTTAAACTGTAATTTGGAAGAAAAAACTAGTTTTCTTCATACGTGCTTTTTGACATTACATTGCACTCGTATATATCGGAAAGATTTTCTTTATAATAAATATATCTGCTTAAACGAAACATTTCTGTTAGACAATTTTCAAAATAACTCCTATTGTTTTGATCAATAACGTTAAAGATCGATTTCGAAACCATTATTGTAAACAGACTTTTGATTTGTTGATCAATACATCTTGCTCTGTTTTACTTTATGGCTATGAATCATAACCTATAAGAGTAGAAGGCTTAGGTAAGCTAAAGGATTTAGACATAAGTACCTTCGAACTGTCACTTTCGTATCGTGTAGTAGCTGCACTAACAATGCTGGTGTTACCCGTTGAGTATATAGGGAATGACGACAAACCACTTGATAACTTTGTCACTATTCATCAACTGAGTTAGCTAGGAGTGTTGTGTTTTGTATATCCTACTACTACATACCTCAGTGCGCAACGCTGACTGCAATATGAGTTGGGTAAAAACCATATGGCCGGGAAACCAAAATATGGCATTAATTCATCAAATCATTGACTGTTAGTCTTAGTTATATTGATAGATATTGTTTACCTATTTCGGGTCGCTACGATAATCACACTCAGTTGTTTCAGATATTAGGTTACGTGACTCTGAACTGTTGTCTGCGTCTCAGATACGTTCGCTCTTTGTATTACCTAAGATCTTGATTCTTAATATTTCTCGATTAGTACCTTTACATTTCTTCTTTAAGAATCTTTCTCTGAATGTTTAAATTTATCATTAGTACTACAATTATTTTGACTCATTAACCATTCATCTTGTTAATTTCATCTCATTGTGTTGATTTGGTATGATAACTTTGAGTAACATCTATTTGCCACAGGCTTCATATCAAATACAACCGATAAGCAACAGTAGGAAAGATTATTGAATATTCATCCTAACTTCATATCAACACAACAGATAAGAGGTAATAAATTATTCTGATTGTATCATGCTCAAAACAGTGCTGCGATAAAATATTTGTTCAAATTTTTGTAACCAGTCAGAACTAAATAATTTGTTTCGTTATAAAATAAGATATGCATTAACTGTTTCTTGTTTAAGTGTTCTTGATAAGTCTTGCTACTTGGACGCTATATTCGGTTCCTAAGCTATTCTCGTAGTTCCTAAGCTGGAACTACACAGAGACCTGAACACAAGAGAAAAAGGCACAAAATATGCGAGAAGCACTTTACTCCAAAGGTCCGTTCTTATACAGAAAAACACGGGTATTTATAGATATTAGCATTTGTTAAATCATTATATTTGGCCAGTCCGCTAGGAGACATATTATGCTACTGACCAATAGTAGCATGCCATGTTGATATTCTAGAAAGCTCCATCGTATTCTGACTAGTTGGAACTCTTCGGCTCCTCTAGGGCCTCTGGAGGCTCCGCTGTAGTTCTCGGAAGCCGACTCAACAATTCTCAATTTCGAACAATTTCAAATAATGAAAGATATTAAAACTATGGTAAAACATTCACTTTCTGATGATAGTCATGTAAATCAAATGTTCGTATTGTTGTATTTGGTATTATAACTTCCCTGTCAATTACATCTATCATATCAATGTACAGTGAAACAGTAGACTATGAATAAATACTAAGCGCATTGTTGTTTAACAAGTTTTGAATGCAATTAATCGATAATATCACTTGTATACTAAACAAATCTTATCAAAAGCAAAACATTATTTATTATTTAAACACATAAACATTGGTACAAGGAGGCACCAAATACATATGCACCACACAAATCAAATGTGATTTGTGTGAGGGGGGGGTACGCCTGGAGCCTTCGGCACAAAGGTCTGATACACAAGACAGTGGAACATCGTAAGGAGATGCAGTCCCATGGTAGCCGGTAACCAACGATTGGTTCATACGCCATTTTTTCCCTCAGGATACTGGAGCCCATATGCACCATTGGTTTGAAATCAGGGTTTTCCAACTCCCCTAGGTGGACTCTCCATGTACACCAACCCGGTTAAAGCACCGGACATTCGCTTTTCGTCCTCTCAATTTCGTAAACAACACCCCCGCCACGAGAAGGTAGTGACTAGGACTTCCGTGGCAGAAGCTATATATGTGTGGCGATGTGAAAGCACTTTGAGAGGGGGAGCTGACTCTCCCCACTCTCGGCCGTACCAGGGCATTTACGGCCTTTGTGTGTAATAGCGGAAGGTCGTACACTCACTCAATTCATAAAAAAAAGTGTACATTAATAATAATAATAATAATAATAAAAAATAAAAGTTACAGTTAAATTAAAGATATAGCGAGAAAGATTTCATTTGATTACACGATTTAACTTGACTTTTACGAGGAATGTTATGAAAAATACAACAGAAAGATCACCTTTAGATTTTGTTGTAAATCACATCTTGTAATATTTAAAAAAATCAGTTAAAATATTTCTCAAGTTTTAGATGACACAAACGTCACATTGATATTTTTAATATATATATATATATATATATATATATATTCGATATAACGTTCTCAAAACTTTGATTTTCTTCCCGTTATGTTATGGGGAATCCTAGTATGAGAGATGTAAACTATCTGGAGTATTTTGGAAATATCACAGTTATGACATTCTTTGCAAATGTTAATGTGCAATAATTCATTTTATGCTATCGATTTTTGTCCTTATTTGAGAGTCTTTTAATTTTTTATACATTAAATGTTAACTTTGTTTTAATTTCTGCATAACATATATTATCAAACTTATTTAATCATTATATTAGCCGTGTATTGTTACTAGGGGAATATTCTGAAGTAGTGGTTTCTTTTTACTGAAGGATTACTAATATTGTATTACTCACCTGTCATAAATATTGTATCCCATTGTTTATCATATTTACCTACTCGTTTGAACAATATTTCATTTATAACTAACTTTATAGCTATGTACAATTCTGTATACTTGATATTGGACATAATTTAGCATGTGAACTGATACTAATACTTGATTTCATTATTCAAGGCTGATAAAACAGAAATCGAAATATCAACCCTAATAATTTCAACTCTTGTGCTTTAATCATTTAGCTACCACCAATTGATTGTTAAGATAAAGTATATGTAGAAGATTGTTTTGGATATTATGTAATCGAAAGAGTAAAGATTTCGTTTCATTTTAATTACAGTTGTTTTATTTTGTCTTTTTATTTCAGTCAAATTATTGGAGGTTATTGAATCTGAAAAACATTTATACTTGGTCATGGAATATGCAAGTGGAGGTAAGTTGTATGCTAGCATTTTAAGTTACTTTTATCGTTTAATACAATTGCATGAGTTCATGTTACAAACGATATCATAATGAGTATGCATCTCCCGTGTCTTTGCATTGAAATACTATTATGTCCACTGAATAACTGTACTTCAGACTTTTATCATCAATCTACTCTATTTAAAGTAATCTTTTATGAAACTATTTTTAAAATAATTCATTTTTGTATTGTTCGTTTGAATCTTCCGATTGATGTTTAGGACTGTAATTAAGCAGTCTTTTATTGGCATGTGTGCATCCTGTGCGGATTGCCTCTATATTGCTTTAAGTCACAAGCATTGCAAAAAAAGATGATGGTCGCTAACAGTGGAATCTAGAATACGCGTTTCGTTCTATTTGGGACTTGTCAGCTGGATAAACCTGCATCTTAAACTTGATATTCACTCTGAAACTCGAACAAAATACCATTCGCTTCAAACGCCATCGCTTTATTCACCTAGCTGATGTGTCCAGATAGCCACTAGTTTGTGCAGTGTGGTGAAGTTTTAATTCGTTTTTGTATTGTCTGTTTGAATCTTCCCAGTGATGTTTAAGACTGCACTTGATCAGTCTCTTATTTTGAGATAATTGATCATCAGAATAAAGTTTTGAATTTCACGAAAAAAAAATATCTACGCAACTAATTGTTTCAACTGTATTGTATCAGTGAAAGATGCTCTTACGCATTACTTTTATGATGTAATATTGTTTTTTTCCAGTCGTTTGCTCTAGTAGTGTTTATTGATGTAGAAATGTTTTTCTTTGTTTTCGTCTCTATATAAAGTTGGTACATACTAGGAATAAATAGTTGTCTAAATATCGTTGCAGTATGTAGATAATTTTGGTCAGTTGCTTCCTTTGAAATGCCAGTATTCACACATCTGTTTTCAGAGTGCCTTAACACACTTGAGAGTTAAAAATACTCAATGCATTCACTACATCTGACCTCCTGGTCGTTTTAACGATAAAATGCTTTCGCTTTAATTTCATCCAAGATGTAATCAGAGGATATATCTATCACTGTCCTTCCAAGTCCTATCACTGAATCCCTTTCCCTGGAACATTCTCTCTAAATATTTTTTATTGCCTTAAGTGTACTACTATTTCACTATTTTGCTCTTTAGATTGTTCTCTCGGTGCTGATGTGATTTAGCAAATTAAATTGGTGCGCTAAACAAACGTTACCGCTTCCACCAGCAATTCTTGAGTCATGAATTCTATGTCGTTTTGTCCCTCATTCAAGAAACCCATTCAATCAGAAAAGCAACATCGTTCAACGTGTTTTTTTCCTTAGTAAACACTTTACTGCTGTAACAGATCACTGCAGTCGATAATATGGCTCTGTTGTTTAGAATTTCTGTCTCATCACTATTGACTCTGTATGTTTGACTTCGCAGTAACAATTTTCCAGCTTGGATGACTTCACCAGAGATAAACGTGACAACTGCGTCTACATATCAACGGAAATTAAAAGAAAAAAACTCATATTCATTGTTTTGTTTTTAAAAACGAATGCTGCCCAACTAACATTTATCTCAGCTGTCTGAGTTTTCTCAATACTCATATTAAAAATTGGTGTTACTGAACATTTAGAAGTGTATAGTGATGACTTGAAGTATCAGTGACTGTAAATTCTTTAAGTTATTATTTTAATCTATCCAATCGTAGAAATTGTAAATAAAAATAACGCTAAACATTAACACTTACATTTACATTTCAAATGTAATTTCAACAAAGTATCATGGTATTAATTTTTGTTTCTAAGAAAAAACAAGTTTTAACGTGTCACATGTTAAATCTACCTAACTGGTAGTACAGTTTTAGTTATGGATTTCTGTGTATCTCTTTGTATTATTCTCTATCTATGTTTATTGTCCAATAAATATGCCATATATATCAGTCAACTGGTTAGTATTTCTTAAATGTTCATCAACTAAAAAAAATAATGGATAATCTTCCATATACTTCAGTTAGTTAAGTTCTCATTGTGTAATTTGTAAATTGTAAAATGCCTACTATTTCATATCTTTAGTTCGAAAAGTATAACATGTTCTTTCTTCCCAAGATCACATTTTTCCGATTAAAATGCAGTTATATGCATAAATACAGTTTCTATAATTCTCTCAACTTTGTTATACACTCTTCAGTAGTTTTATTGTTTATATTTCATGAATAAAGGAATAAACATTCTAATGAGTGAAAATGACTTAGTGAATCTTTCTAGTATGAAGTATGCCAGGTTATGTCGATGTACCAATTCATCTGAATGTAAAAAAAATTGGATAATCAGATTTATTATTTGTTTAATACTCAGAGAAATGTTTGGTGTATAGTAAGTTTGTGTAACAATTGACAGTGCTCTAGGACTCATTTAGTTGTGTATCTAGTTTTTAGGTAACCTTAGTGTAGTCAAGATGCATTAGTGACTAAAGTTTGTTGTTTCCAGCCAGTTATATTGGTGGGTTGTATTTCCTAGCTTTCAAATCCGTGTTCCTACTTTTTATAAATAATTCTATTATCTGGTATTATCCACGTCCGTTCCTTGTACAGGAACTCGGAATATTTTTCTGAGTTGCCGTTTTCGATGTTCTTCACTAATTGTCAATTAGCATATAGTGAAAGCTTTAAAATACGAAAGACTGCAAAAGTATCAAAATATATCCCTTTGAATGAGCTGAAATACTACTTTTATTTATCAAATACTAATAAACTGAATGCAGTATTGGAACATTTTCTTCAAGTTGTTGGTTTGAAACATATTTATTGACACCTATAAGTTGCTTTATCGTCTTCATTCTACACTTCCTCTCATAAATCACTCATTTTCTTCAGACTACATGGACTACTATCCGAAGGATGTGAATACTAGGCTTTTTATCACTGATCGGTTCGAATATGTTTTAAATTTGGAATTCACTTTACTATCTAGCCAGTGACATTTTCACTATAAACTGCGTAAAAAAAGGCTTTTTCATTAATAAAATTTAAATTAACAAAACAGTTCTTTAATTCATGCTACTTTACATTATTTGCTAGGTTTAAAATTGATTTAACACAAGATTATTGTTCTGAATAAGGTAGCCGCTTTATATTTCAGATTCACTAGATTAGTTCCTCATTTGAGGACTCGAAGAAATAAGCACTGACTATCAGATTATGAATTGGTTTTGGGAATATAGCTAAAATCAAACAATTAATGATATGAAATTAAAGAACTTTTATAACTACTCATGGGACTTCCTCCTATTGTTGACTCAGTCTTTTTACAAGTTATTGTGCGCTAAGTGTATACTATTTCATTTAACAGACTTTTTATTGAATATCTTATTCAATAAATTATATTAACAAGGATCTTGTTTGTTCTGTTATCAGTTTATTAGATGAACAAATTCCTTTTTCTATCCAATTTCATATATATATGATAGACACTTCTGGTGATAGATGTATGTATGTGCAAATATGCCCACATATCTAGTATACCAATCTGTTCTGTGTTTGTGTATGCCTTACATATTCATGAATATAAATATTTATGTACATAGAATATTTTCTGTTTCTCGTCTTAATTCTTGTCTTATCAGTTTCGATTCGTTCATATATTATTATTATTATTATTATTATTATTATTATTATTATTATTATTATTATTATTATTATTATTATGAATACTGTTATTATTACTGTTGCTAAAATGTCAACCTATCCTTTTATTGATTATTATCATTAGTGCCAAATAATTTGTTGTTTTACATTAATGCATTCTGCCATTTTATATATGTTCATCCAGATTAATGCTTGTTTATAAGACAAACTAGATGTATATTTGTGTTTGTATGAATATAAATAAATTATTTATTTATCGATTCACCCGTTATACTGTCTTGATATAAAAAGAAGGAAAATACCGAGTTGGGATGAGGAATATGTTGATTATTCAAAATAAATGAAACATTGTTTATTTTGTAAGTTTTAAAATGAAGACCAGGAAGAACTCAAGAGTTCAGAACCTAATATTTAACGAGGCTTACATGTCAAAATTGGAATGAAATAACTATGTAACAAAGTAACAACAATCAATGAAATAGCATTTAAGTTCACTGAGGAATTAGAAAAATGTTATCGCGATTATTCCTACCCCCTAAAACTATCCTTTATTAACAAAAGCTAGATAACCTGAGCTTTTCTTAACACTGACATTTTAAGAAAACTTGCTGTCAGAACCTAGAGGTGCGAAACAGAATTTTGTTTATGGAAATAAAGTTACTGAATTGAGCAAAGGTTATATATATAGAAAACTTATCCTTTATTCGAAATGTCGAAAAAGACAATGCGTAAAGTTCTATTGATATCATCCTGTCGTTTTTCATGTTGTTGTATTTGGATGTAACTTTTTGCTTTTTTTTTTAGATTGGACTGATTCTGTTCACGTTACAAATAAACTGATATCATATGAATTTGTGTTACTAATTATTTTATTGTTGACTTACGCATTAAATTCAGGTCATTGGTTATAAATAATAGTCAATTTTGTAAACGAACTTGTTTGATGATTGTTTTGCGGGTGTCCTATTTTTACGTATCATTGTTGTTTTTCATTTTATAATTTGTTTTTTCGTAATTTTGATTGACAACTCTTCTATTTTTTTTCTGTTGTCTGTTGTTTTCGTCTAGGTGAAGTATTTGATTATCTTGTTTCACATGGTAAAATGAATGAAAAAGATGCGCGATGTAAATTTCGTCAAATTGTTTCAGCTGTACAATATTGTCATCAAAAAATGATTGTTCATCGAGACTTGAAAGTAAGTTGTTGTTCAATAATATTGCTATTCATCCTATTCAAAACAACCAGTCTTTTATTATTTTTATTCTTAAATTTCGACAGTGTAAGGTATTTAGGCAGGACTTTTTATACCTTCCTTATTAGATCATCTCTCTTTATCTTCCTTGTTTCCAATTATTCCTTTTTCCACCTACTGAGCATTTCGTTTATTTGACTTTTGTTTATTTTCGTATCTAAGTATACCTTGTTAAGTATATGTATGATCAGTGTTCGTACTGTATTAGGCAAATACAATACATTTTTCTACTTAACTCCTCAGTACACTAACGAAATTTTCTTCATTATTTATGATGACTAACCAGATTATTGAACTAGTCTATGTTATATTAAAAACCAATGATAAAACCGGACGATACATATAATAACCAATTAATATAGTTTTTAGGTTGTTTCTATGAATCCCAAATTGTTTATGCATATCATCGTTGGGTTGAAGATTTAAATAACTTGAGTTGGCTAAAAAAATATCATATCGTTTTTTTTTTAGAAAAAGTATATATTTACACGTGAGCTATTGGAAAGGAATTCAGTTGATAGGTTGCAAAGTTTACCGTATGCGATAATGATGATTAAAAACAAGAAAATTGAACGTTCATTTTTCAACACATTTTATTATTAAGCTGATGTTTATGAGTGAATTTGATTTGTTTCTTTTTGGAAACTGATATGCTAATTTTTATTGTTGTGTATAATATGGTAATAAACTTGTGTTTTGAATAGACAATATGTGTTACAGTGTAAATTTCTGATAATCCTAATTAATAATATGCACTCAATTGAAAAACTTCAATCAAATAGACACGTCCCTATATGTCATGTATTATTCAAGAACGAAAAGAATGGAAATTATCATATTAAGTTTACGATGAACAGCGGTACAGATACTTTTTACGTTGGTTGAAGAGTTTTGAATAAGTTGAGTCCTCCTGTACCAAATATATATGCACTAATGTAACAGTCTGCGTGTATCTAGCTGGGTATTTATACGACAGGTTTATTCACTTAATCTAGACAATGTATAAATTATAATTTAACAAATCCTAGAATTGCAGTGACAAAATAGAAAAAAATAGTACAGGAAGGTGATTAAAAGTTCTTTGTAAAAAGTGTAATTCCCTCAATGCTGATAGAATTTTGGCAAGCAACATTTTATTTGACTTAGTTTTTCTGTTAAAAGGGATGATTAAGTTCCCTGCAATAATCGTATATTATGTTCCGTCGCACCAGCATACATTTGTGCTGGTTCCTACATTTTTTACAATTAGCGGACTAGTGGGTTATTTTTTTATACTGAGAAGCAAAAGTGTATACCCTAGTAGTGTTCTTAATCAAGTCTTGTTATGTTGATTTAGTCTGCTTATTAGTAGACATTAAGTAGTATTCTTTCAATAGGCTTGATGAAGAACCTTGTGAGTGAATGTGTGAATATTTTCTTGTCTTTTTAGTAGCTTATGTGTTTCAAGATGCTCATATGTTTTTATTTCATGTTTTCACTTCGATTACGTAAGATAAAAGATAAGTAACTTCCGAATTATAAGTTATATTCCTTATCAATCTCCAAACTCGTATTAATTATATATTTGAAGTTTCGTTTCCATTCTTTTCTCCTCAGTCTATTCATAATTCACTCTGGCACACTAAGTATAACTTATTGATTATGATAAACTGGTTGTTTACAGCTTGGGAGATGGAAAAGTTCAAATCCACTGTACCCGGCTGGTTTGTGTAGATGTGTCTTCTGAGTATTATTTCCATTACAAACAGATACCATTTAAAGAACTATGGAAAACAAAAAAACACTTGACGAATGTTTCTTCCTATTTCGAAACTTACCTATAACGTTTAGTTCTCTTAGTTTTGTATCCATTCTTTATCGATTCTTAGTATTATTCATTAAGTTGAATAAGTTTCTACAAACACTTACCTAAATAGTGATCATCTTACTTTTAATCTATTAAAGTTTGACTGGACTTCCTGATTTCTCAATGAAAATCTGTAAGGTTTGCTCAATGGCAAATGAATTAGTGACTTATCAATTATACTGCCTATACTCCATTGCAAATGCTGAATATCTCTTTAGTTTTAACTTGTTTGTTTAATGCATCTTTGTGTATACACACTTTGTATCTATTAATTTATATTTCTTATTTGTTGCCTTATGATTCAGCATTTCGTAAAAGTTTTGCATAAACAAATACAGTACATACATGTACTTCATATTATATGATCGTTTTGAAATTCATTCAGCAATTGGTATAGTTAAATTCAAAATAATTCACAACATATTTGTCAGTTTCCTTTATAAATCGATTCATCTGAACTACTTACTCAGTAAGAGATTAGAATAATCTTTTTCTCATACATATCGTGTTAGCCTCAAGTAACCTCTGTCCTGACGGACTACAGTGCAAAGTAGTGCATGGAGGACAGCTGACAGGTGCATTCCAAGTAAGGACTGGAGTCAGACAAGGCTGTTTACTCTCTCCCTTCCTCTTTCTTCTGGTGGTCGACTGGATTATGAAGACCTCGACATCTGAAGGAAAACACGGAATACAATGGACAACTCAGAATCAATTAGACGATTTGGACTTCGCAGACGACCTAGCCCTCCTATCACGTACACACGAACAGATGCAGATGAAGACAGCCAGTGTAGCAGCAGTCTCTGCATCAGTAGGCCTCAGCATACACAAAGGGAAAACCAAGGTCCTCAAATTCAAAGCAAAGAACAGCAATCCAATCACTCTTGATGGCGAAACTCTAGAAGATGTAGAATCCTTCACATACCTAGGAAGCATCATCGATGAACAAGGAGGTTCAGATGCAGACGTAAAGGCGAGGATCGGAAAAGCAAGGGTCGCATTCCTACAATTGAAGAACATATGGAACTCAAAACAACTTTCAACCAATATCAAAGTGAGAATCTTCAATACGAACGTCAAGGCAGTTCTACTGTATGGAGCTGAAACTTGGAGAACTACAACAACCACAATCAAGAAAGTACAAGTATTTATAAATAGCTGCCTACGCAAGATACTCAACATCCACTGGCCGGATACCATCAGCAATAGCCTTCTGTGGGAGAGAACAAAGCAACTTCCAGCTGAAGAAGAAATTAGGAAAAGATGATGGAAATGGATAGGACATACATTACGCAAATCATCAAACTGCATCACGAGGCAAGCCCTAACTTGGAATCCTGAAGGGAAGCGGAAAAGAGGAAGGCCAAAGAACACATTACGTCGGATAATAGAAGCAGATATGAAAAGGATGAATAGGAACTGGAAGGAGCTGGAAAGGATTGCCCAGGACAGGGTTGGATGGAGAATGCTGGTGATCGGCCTATGCTCCTTCACGAGGAGTAACAGGCGTAAGTAAGTAAGTAAGTAAGTAACCTCTGTCCTATGACGTTTGCTATAATCATCATCTGATAATAAATATTATGATGAGGTGGAGAATGAAGAGGTTGTTACGTAAACTAAGTAATATGTTGATGTATGTGATAGCAATAATAAACATACTGCCTGCCAACTGATAAAACAATTTTGAATTTATAGTGAAAATAGTCGAATGTCTGCTTAAAACTGTTTACATTGTTCAGCCTATGTATTAATTTACGTGGTCTTGTAAACTGTTTGCATACTTTGAAAGTAATGTTTTCACTACAAGTTGATATCCTCTTAAATGAAAACCATTTAAATATTAGACAATGTTAAACGATTATTTAGCACAGTGCTAACTGTTTGTGTAACAAATTTACTGTTTTAGAAAGTCGAGAGAATCTTGAAGAAATAAACCAGGCAGTCACGTTCATCGTAAAATCTTGAGTCCAAAGTCTATATTTTTGGTGACAAATTGTTAATGTTTTCTCCCTAATTCTTTTACGTAAGACAAACCGTGATGAAAATAAAATTATTTTAAAATTTCGCTCTCATCAATTTTGTTACGTTCATTTATACAATTATTCTAACTGTCCTATTGGCATCTGAACGCATACATTCTAACTTGTATATCATTTGCATACTTTGTCTTCAAACAAAATAAGCTATTCGTTGTTGCACTGATAGTTTGCTTTATTTCTTATTATTCGAATAATCTATACCATTTCAAATTTCACTGTTAACGATCACGTTTAGATTTGAGTGGTTTATACGTATCAAGCTTGCTATGTAAGCTGATGACATGTAGGTTCATCAATTTTAAATAATACAAGTCTGCATAAAATACCTCATTTATTAATATTCATTTCAAATGTAGAAAATTCAATATCCATTGTAGTAGACGATTTGGATTTCGCAAATGACCTAGCTCTCCTAGCCCATACACACCGATATTTGCAGGTCGTAACAGCCAGTGTAACAGCAGCCTCTGCAATAGTAGGCCGCAACATACATAAATTAAAAAGCAAAACCCTCAAATGAAACACCGAGAGCTCCAACTCAATCACACCTGATGAAGCTCTGGATGATCTGAGAACTTTCACGTACCTGGCCAACATAATCGATGAACGAGATGGATCTGTTGCCTATAAAAAGGAAAGGATTGGCAAAGCAAGGAAAATATTCCTACAGTCGAAAAACATGTTGAACTGAACTCTATTATCAGCTAACATCAAAGTCTCAATCTTCAATACGAACGTCAAGACAGTTACATTGTACAGGGATGAAACGCGGAGAACTACAGCCATGATCTAAAGGATACAAGCTTTTATAAACAGATGTTTACGCAAGAAACTCGATGTCCGTCAGCAACAACCAACTATGGGAAAGAATAAACCATTTTCCAGCTGATAAGGAAATTAGGAAAAGACGCTGGAGGTGGATAGGAAAGTGCCAACTTGGGATCCTGAAGGGAAAAGGAAGAAAGAGAAACCTAAGAGCACATTGTATCGAGAATTGGGAGCAGACATGAAAAGGATGAATAGCAACTGGAAACAACTGGAAAGGGTTGTCCAGAAGAGAGTTCGACAGTTAATCCTGGTGAGCAACCTATGCTCCTCCTAGAGTGGTAACAGGAATAAGTAAGTAAGTAATTCACAAATACATATATAGTATTGTAATTTGCTAATATTGCCGGATTATTCAGTTTTCTTTTTCAATTTTGTTTCTTAAAGGCTGAAAATTTATTACTTGATGCTGAATTGAACATAAAAATAGCAGATTTTGGATTTTCAAATTATTTTTCTAATTCACAAAAATTGGATACATTTTGTGGTAGTCCACCCTATGCTGCACCGGAATTGTTTTTAGGACGTAAATATGAAGGTCCTGAAGTTGATGTTTGGTCATTAGGTGTAATTCTATATACATTGGTTAGCGGTACATTGCCATTTGATGGAAAAAATCTAAAAGTGAGTGACATTTTTTGTAAGGATTTTTAAATTTTTGTAATCCTTGTGTTCTTCATTGATGCATGTATTTTATTTAACTTTTTCATTTACCCTATCATTAATTAAAAAATATTTTTCTCTTATGTTTTTACTACAAATGTGTTATTTTGTTTCATTAATGCCCAACATTTTGTTCTTGCGTTTCAATTCTCTCTATGTCCATGTTTCGTACGTTCCTTTATTTCACTTTGAAGGTAGACAACAGATTGTGTAGTTAAATGTTAACTAGTGATGTAATTAAAGCAAAGCGTAAAATTTCCATCTTCATCTTGGTTAACTTTGCATTAGATTGTTCAAACGCGTTCATGTATTCATTCTTTTTGTTGTAATTTTCATTTTTGACTATCCAAAGCTATTTGGAATCCACTGAAGTTTGAAATGTAAGCCATTAGATGCCAACTCATTGGTATGAAATTTGAAGGCTCTCTATGAGAGCTAACAGTCCTTAGACCGACCCATTATGGGGTTGTAGAGGCGTAATGTAAAATGGTATTCCTATACTATGACAACACACCTGGGTTACGCTACCTGGTTTTCAGTATTATGTCGATTTAAATGAACACGACACTATGACTAAATATGATTATTTAAAAATTCAAATTTTGTAGATCATTTAGATGTAACTATCAAATTTACTTACTGTTAACCATAACATAAGGCAGTGTTTTATTCAGTTTTGTCGAACTTTTTCTTGCTAAATTGTCGTACCAATTTTGTTTTGTTTTACTAAGAAATGGCGAGTAATGTTTTAATACTCTGGGGCAATATACTATATATCAAATTTATATTTGAAATAATTTCAGCGATTGAAAATTAAATAATTTCAACGTTTCGTCCAGCAAACTTGTATGGACTTCTTCAGGGTAATAATCAAAATCATCAAAGAAATATATAGCGTTTAACAATTAAATGTAATCTATACTGTGCTAATCAAATCATATTTAAAATTAAGTAAATAGAATATCATGAGTCAGTTAAATGCGAATCATGTGGAAAGTTCACGATGTAAAAATAAATAACTGAACAAATTGTGTGTATGCATGTATGTGTAAGATTGAGTTATTAGTAGTTGATATCAGATGTTAATGTTTTTATGTGATGGATTAAATAAAGCAAAATAAAAGTACAAGTTGAAGGTTGAAAAAATGTTTCTGAATCATTGATGTGCATGTTAAATGAGAATCATCAGATACATAATTGTATTGCTAAAAATAGCCCACATTAAGTTCAGTCAGAATAACGATGCATGTGAAATAAACAGGTTGGATAAAGAATGGGTCCAATTACTTGTTAACGAATATTTGTCAAGTAATCGCTAGTTGAATACCATCCTTTCTTGTTCGCCCATATATACAACGCTTCTGCTGTTGAACTTTCTTTATGAGTGTTAGAACCTTTCTGAAGTATTTTGGTTCCTTCAAAATAAATCACGTGTCCTGTTCCCAAATGTGATTTGATTGTTAAACACTATATATTTCTTTGATGATTTTGATCATTACTCTGAAGTAATGACGACAAGTTTGCTGAACGAAACGTTGAAATTATTTAAATTTCAATCGCTGAAATTATTTCGAATATAATTTTCACATATTATGACTTCTCTATACTTGGCGCTCAATTTTTGTTAAACTATTCGTTTTAATATTGACGAATATTCGTATAAAATGTACTAGTATAAATTCAAAGCTTAGACCTCATGCAGGATATATGAATATGTGAACACTTCAGAAAAGTAATTCTTGAAATATATTAGAATTACTCACTTAGAAATAGGTCCTTTTTTAATCGCTGATATCAGTTTCTAAAGGAAAGCTCCATCTAATTTAAGTTTTTAGAAACCCAGCTATATTGCTTATTCAATTTTTTAAAATGTAAAGTGGTTGATTAAACTCTCTACTTGTAAAGCTGTGAACGCAATAACTTTTTACTGCTTGATTTAATTGCTACAGGAACAATCTTAGGGTTTACTTGATGTTCCGTGGCTTTTTATTGTCAAAGGAATTTAATGACAATCTACTTAATTATTGCATAATTTTAGTTTAATTCAATGCTCTTCTATGTTAAGTCTCAATATTCTCTTGACAAATCAATGCAAAGTATAAACCATTAATAAATAAATTCTATACCTATATGGAAGATAACTAACTTGTTTTTTCAATACTATCTGAAAGTTTTTCTTGACGCTAAACTAATCCATGCTCAAGCCTTTGTTTTTTTACATTGTATTTGGTGGATCAGTTACTAGGTTCACTGCAGTCACTGTTCATAAATGTTTTCTCCCTAAAGACTCACTTTTTTCAGCAGCTACTAGCCCGTTACAATTCACTTTACGATGCTGCATTCCATCCTTATCCTTTTTTAGAACCTGAGTCACGAAATCTTCGTGAACCATTTCGTTATATTTTTTGTAGATCTAATTTTTTCTACTATCAGTGATGCGGTTACTTCTATTACTCTCGAATTTGTCTCGAAATAATCGGATCTCGCTGTGCCAGTGTAATATGGCAACATGAACTGATGCACATATGTGTCATGCTCTACATTGGGTAGCTAATTGAAATGTTCAGTTCACATATTCTTGCTAATAATTGATAGTATTCCCGAATGTATTTAGTTCATATTTGGAACTTTAATCGTTTAAAATAGTGCTACTTTTTAGTTTATACGAATGACTTATGTTTTGTACACAAGTCACTTATTTATTTACCATCGGATTGCACGCAATCGTGCAATTTGTTACATTTGTTCAGTTTATTTATCATGTTATTTATTGTTATCCTTTATGGGTTTGCATAAGACGTTTTATACACTAAAAGGGCGGACAAGGTCTTGCTGCAAGTCTCAGTATTCATTACATCATTGTATCTATCAATTACTTTCTTTCACTAAATAGCCGTTCTTATTTTTACTTCACTCTTTAATTCACTTTTTTCTTAACTATCAATATATATTTTTATGTAAAAAAACTTTATACACAGTGTAGTTGACCATGCTCTCGTTATTATTTACGTTTGTCACTGTTAACTGTACCATTCATTTCTTGAAATGGTTTTATTAAATATCTATTTCGTTTTAGTGTATTTTTATTTTTATCATTACTAATTCACTAAGTGATCAGTTAGTCCGTTTGTTTTTCAGTTAGTAAACAAATAAGTTAGTTAGTTATGTGTGAATTCTTCGCACTGAATGTAACTGTAAATGAACTAGACAGTGATCTGCATTTTGTTTGTTGTTTCGTATTTCAAAGTCGAAGTCAACTCATAAATTATTCAATATAACTTTTTTTCGTTCTGCATCAATCGCTTTGTATATGAGTGTGCATATTGAAAAGTCTGCCCCAATTATTAATAAACATTAAAATACAGTTCATATAAAGATAAATATTGAGCGAAAATGTTTTTTTAAAATGACTTACTAGTTTGTTTTTCTTATAAGTGTGCTTACCTGTGTGTCTTGCTTGTTATTTTGTATATTCTACTGTGAGAAAAAAGTCTGCTTGAACACATCAGTCATATATATATGGTCTCCTGAACTTCGATTATCTCCTTGCTACTTTTCTATTAATTTACATCTACGTTGTGGAATGTAAATGTTTGTTTTTATTACCAAGAAATTGTATTTACATACAACTAAATGTCTTAGTAGCATATGACTATCGTCTTGTTTCACAATGCTCTACTGTTTATTGATTCTGTCTCACATATATATTCAAATTCGTTTGGGCGGTTTTACGAGAATTCTATATAACCCAAAGTTAATTCGAATCACGGGGCGTTATTATCGTTGGAACTTAGGAAGCAGTAGATTACTATTGGTACTCCTCAGCAGTGCGTACTAAGGGTTGTATATAGTATCGACCTTAAGGCCATTAGGTTTTGTAACACGTATGGTTCCATTCAATCTATATGCCCGTCTGTTTGAACATATTTTATTGCCTCATTCAGCTAATGAAATTAAGTGACACTTATTTATTGTCATTCATGACTTAAGCATTTCACTTCTTACCTTGTGCACTCGTCCCGGCTACCTGCTGAATAAAACGTTGAGAAATATTTATTTAAATACTTACCATGTTAATTATCTAGTTTGGTAGTTCTGTGCAAATTTTTTGTATATCAAATGAATTCTTCCGTACAAAATATAATCAACTGAATAATTAATGTAAACCGGAAACCATCATCATCCGTTTTCGTTATCGTTTGAAATTCTCGTTACTTTTACTGTTTATTTATTATATCTTTGATTGATGAAAACAGTTAAATAATGTTTTCTAATGTGTCTTTTGTATCGAATGTAGTTTTAAATATGTTTCTAAATAAGATATGTTCAAATATCTTAGCTTTGATATCATAGATATATCTAAGGTTAATATATGCACCATCAAGTATTAAATTTGAAGCTATTTTCGACCACTCACTTAACATATCTCACATCATACATAATCTCTAAACGACCTGACGCTTATATATATCACACCTTAGTTACATTTAAATACATTTGTGGTTTTAACTAGTTGATGAGAAACCACGAAATGTAATGAATTCATGTTATTCTGCCTCATTTGTTGTTTTGGCTTTATTCACATTCATAAAGGGAACCAATAACAGAATAGTTTTCACTCTGATGTAAAACAATACAATGAAAGTAAAGTGGTTCTTCGCATAACCAATTTTTTATAGAATGAAATCTAGGACAGTTGATTAATTGTAGGTTGATAACTGACCTTCGGATGGTTGCAATATATAAATTGTTAACTCTTTAGTTTATTTACGCAATATTATCTTGATTGTAACGATGCAGACTGAGAACTCATCGTAATCTGTTACTTGGTTTCGGTTAAGAATTTAGATTTTTCTGACAATAAGTGGTAATTCTTACAGGTATCACATCAGATACCATGTGCTAAATCACATGTTAATAAGTGATAAACCGAGATATGTTACGGTATGTATAGGATTTAAGCATTCCTGATGAAGCTTTATGCTTGATTAACTTCATATATTACAGCTCACTGGGTTTAAAGGTTGATGGAATCTTGATTGTACACTTTTATACTGTTCTAAATCATAATGTTTTAACTTTGCATCTGTTGAGTTACTTAGTGACTTCTATCTTTAGTGAAAATATGAAGATTAATTGATCCACCACACTTTATTTGTTATTGAATAAACTAACTAATTGAAAACGTATATAATAGTTTAGACTCACGACGTGAAATTAATTGAAAGATACTTTTTCTTCATTCAACTTGTACTTTCAATACGTTAGTATAGCTTGGTTGTTTTTTAACAGTTCTTCAATTGATTCCAGTTTGTGATATAGCAGAAAGCCAACTTCAAATTCCTATTTTTTGTTAATTTACCCAAATGAATTCTAGATCTACCCTTTTTTCTCTTTAAAAACAAAGAAACTTAGTGTATACTGTTGATCTGACTGAAAAGTAATCTTTTCAGTAAACTGTTCTCTTTACGATAAATGTCAAAATGAATTTTGATTAGTTCATTTTTTAAATAGAATTTGATTTATGGCATGCACCATCTTATTATTACTATAAACTTTCGCGATTTTCTCACTTTTAGGAGAGATTTTATTCCTTGCTCTGATTTGTTTGTTTCGATATTTTTTGAATCTTCAATTCATAATTACTCTTTTATCAATATATATATATATATATATATATATATATATATATATATATATATATTTCAGTGATTGGCTCTTTTCATAGTTGTTTATGAACTTTTCTAATTAAAAGCGTAAGATAGAGAAAGACGTAAAGGTAAATTCTCGTTTATTTATTTCATCCCGTTTTTCAAATCAGTCTCTATTTATCTATCAATATGAACGGGGTAACGATGCACATTCTATGCCCTCAACTTTGTTACTACTATTAATACTACTACAAAATATATTTATCTGGTATTTAATTCTATTTCGGCATCTAACTGTTTTTTCTTATTCGTTAGAAAATTGATTAAAACAAGTTTTCTAGTCCGTGTATATTTATTATCAGTCGAATCAAGTACTCTGAGTTTATACAATCTGCAAGTATAGGTCATTCCTACATTCATTTAAACACTGTTATGTAACCCAAAAATATGTTATAATCGATCATCACCTTTTTAACTGTAGGCCGGTTTAATATACTATTATGTTACCTGCATTTAGCTTTTTTTTCTACCAGACGCTGTTGTTGACGTTGTCTCATTGGAATTACTTTATCTACATTTTTCTACTAGTAGCGTTGACATTTGCCTGAAGATCATTAAACAAAACTATTTATTATGTAGTGGTGACATTTATCATTGGTACCAATGTGGATTTTAATTCATATCTAAAATGTAGTGTATGTCAGTATTGTCTTTGTAAGCCTATTACTTGTTAGTTAACACTTTAATAAATATTTTACTTAGTATAATGAATGATATAATGCTATTTCATTAAGAAATACTTATGTGAAAAGAGGTAGCTAAATGTTTGAACCACTAAGTTTTCAGCATCTTGATCATAGATCTCAACTCTCCGGATGCAATTCGATCTTAGCACCTGGGTAGTATTACTAGTCCTTATGCAAATACTTTGATCATAGCCGGTAAATTTTTTTTTCTTTACGAAGTAACAATGTGTTATTCAAATGGTCATGTTGTGTTCAGCAATGATGTTTTTATCTTTATTGTTAAAGTATAAATACTTCATAAATATAGAATGATCGGCTGATTTCTTCCAGTGTGTATATTTTGTTAACCAAATGTATCTTAGATAAACGTTTCATTTCGATCATTTTTGTTTACTTTGTTTCTCTCAATTTAATACAAATATTAATTCGAATATTTCTATGAATTCGTCATATTTTTGTTTAAAACCATATAAATTATTTTAGAATCAATAGAAAAGTTTACATACTTATCTGGGTTGGGTGTGTTCAATAACTTTGTGACAAAAAAATAACTTTCTTTTTACCCTTTGGTAGTTTTAAAATATCAATTGAACTGGTACAAAATCTAAATTGTGTTTTAAAATGATAGGTCATGTGGAATTTGTTAAAAAGATGAACTTTTGGTGGAAATAGTAATAGTTATTCCCGGTGTGAAATAGTTTTTTGTTGAATTTTTTTATAAAATCTTGTAAATTGTTTTAGTAGTTTGAAGTTGAATGAAAAGGACAAAAATCATGAATTCACTTAAAGTTCAATATATAAATAAATATATTCAATGAACAGTTAATAGTACATATCATCATATCCTACCCAGAGTATAGCTTGAATATATATATTCTAGTTCATTACAATTTTATTCTTGTAATACTGCTATTAATAATAATAACTGAAAAACTGTATCAGACAATAATTGAAAGTATTATCTTTTGTCAGTATACGTTAATCTCTGAGTGTAGCCCCCAAATGCCCTGGTACGGCCAAGAGTGGGAACAGTCCGCTCTTCCTCTCGAAATGTTCTCACATGGCCACGCGTATATAGCTTCTGCCATGGGGTCCTACTCACTGCCTTCTCGTGGCGGGGGTGTTGTTTACGAAATTGAGAGGACGAAAAGCGAATGTCCGGTGCTTTAACCGGGTTGGTGTACATGGAGAGTCCACCTAGGGGAGTTGGAAAACCCTGATTTCAAACCAATGGTGCACATGGGCTTCAGTATTCTGAGTGAACAAATGGCGTATGAACCAATCGTTGGTCACCGGCTACCATGGGACTGCATCTCCTTATGATGTTCCACTGCCTTGTGGATCAGACCTTCATGTCAAAGGCTCGGGGAGTGGCCCCCTAAAAAAACCACCTGTTTCGGTTTGGGCACCCGGACAGTATCACAGCCCTCACGGATATCAAATGATATTCGTGTGGCGCATATGTATTTGATGCTTAATTGTACCAATATCTGTGTTAAAATAAATAAAAATAAATAATAAATGTTGGTTTAAAATGGTCAATGTCAACTACTTTATCTGCTTATTTGGTTTGTAAAGACTTGACTTTTGTTGCGAACTTTCAATGAGACTATAATTAATGAGAGATACTGAAGTGGGCTTAATAAAATTCAACCGCTGACTAAAATCATAAAATTGTTGAAGATTAGTGCAAATAATCAAGAGGATTTAAAGTTGGAAGTTGAGGTCGTGAATTAGAGTTAGGTTTTTCATCATAAACTGACATCAGCTATGATCTCAGAGTGCTATGTAGCTAATGATGAATACGTTTAGTCCGAAAATCCATAAACTCCTATCCAAAATTTTATTGGTTCAACTACAGATCATAGTCTCGCCAAAAAATTTTATAATTGAGTTAAATGAAACAAAAAGTTATTCAAGTCTATAAAGCATTAGATGGCTATCTTTATTTACCATTTGTCACATAATCAAAGACCTCCGACGAGAATTATTCCTTTAATATTTTAAAGTAGGTCATAGTTTCTACGGATTATTTACTAAAATCAAGATATTGTTAGCAAATATTTTGTCCAGAAGATCTACACTTAGTAGCTTCATGGGTATTATTTATTAAAGGATATAATCAAGCTATTAAAATTTAATTTTACTATTGTGGTCGTTTAACATATTCTTCTAATATCCTATTAATTTTTGTAAAATTTTGAATGGCACAAGGTAACTAACTATTCATTTCTTAACCGGCGGTCTAAAATGAGGTAACAGACCCGTTTATTACTTCAGATCGTTTGTATTCTGGATTTAATGGTTGCCCTTCATTTTTACTGATTTAGAGAAGATAATGTTTTAGAACTATCTTACTTTCGAATTACGACTTTTTTTAAAGTGTTGTTGTGTTGTATAGTAGTGTAAATCTATGTGCAATGGTGTACTTTTACATCCCGAGATTGTACGTTCGTGTGAATGTGTGATCGGTGAGCAGATAAATCAACTAATTACCGAGGAAAGTTGTCCTCGCACATCACAACAAAATAATTAATATACATATTATGTAATGAAAAAGTAGACAAGATTACAACTCATTTAAAACGTACATAGTTTTTTTAGGTTCGTCATTAGTTAGTAACATAGAGATGTAACCTATCAAGATCACTGAATACCCATCATTGCGTTATCCAAGGATAGTAAGATAATAGCTTATACCAATAGAAAACATATTAATTATTTAAAAATTTCAAGATTAGCGATATCATTGTGTTCAAATTGTTTTTCTCTCTACCATGCATTAAAAGTTCTGAATAAATCTTTGAATTAGTCTTAGCTCATCAAATGATATTAAATGGATTATTCACCTAGGTTTTTCCTCACATACTTTTCCTTTCTTTTCTTATCATATTTTCAGGAATTACGTGAACGTGTGTTACGCGGTACCTATCGAGTGCCTTATTATATGACGCATGAATGTGAAATGTTACTGAAAAAAATGTTGGTCCTTAATCCAGCTAAACGTATTTCATTACAGGTAAAAACAATTATTATACCATCCTATTCAATATTATTTTCTGATAGAGATAACCTTTTATATATCATATGTGTGTGCGCACATATTGATATTGATGTGTATATCTCTCTGATCTTCATAAATTAACATAAACGTGATCATGAATAATTCATTAGTGACCTTATAAACTTTGGTGGCAAACTACCATAGATTTATGGCATTAAGAAAGACCTGCTGTTTGTCTAAGGCTTTTTTCAATATACGATGGATTAATTTTCTGCTAATAACTTGTGTAATGCATTTTGTTTCATTTATCTTCAACTCATATATATATATATATATATATATATATATATAATGAAGTTATACTTACACTTAGCTTTCATACAAGCATAAAGTTCATAGATTAAACTTATTAGTTTATAATTTTATGGATTGTATTTCATTTAACAATCAAAACCCATTTATAGATATTATTATCTGGTCTTCTGTGTTGCTTTAAAAAAGAACTGATTTCGGTGTTTTATTGTAATCACATTTCTAATTAATCTTGATTCCTACAGTTAAATTCATGAGTCGATCTAAACTAGAACACCATTGATAACCCTAAATTCTTGTACGGTCGTCTCGTTACAGTATGGGACTCTTCGGTAGTGCGCATCCACGATTATGCACGCGGGCTCGAACCCAGGACTAGGTCTTGCGCGTGAACGCGTAACCTCAAGACCACTGAGGAGCCCCGTACTAAGACGAAACGGCCGTCCAGTACTGTCAGGTTTTCACCGGTGGTCTAGCTTAGATCGACTTGTGAATTCAACAGTGAAATTACCACAGTCTCCGCAAATCCCCATACTGATAATCTTTACTTCAGTATGTGTTATATTTTGTATTAATCGTTTGTTTTTATTTGTTGAATTCTCACCTGTTCCGTGTATTTTTTTCGACTAATGTATAGAAATAAATATTAAAGTAATTATTTGATTTAAATTATTCATTTTGTACAATTGTTGAATTTCGCATTTGTTTACATGTTTTCCTTCTTTTAAACCTTCCTCTTCATAATTATATTTGTTTTAAATAAATAAATTCATTTTATTTAAATATAGAATTGATTCAAGTATTTAATTAATTCATAATGACCAATTGTTAGGAGGAGTAAATTACTTAGATAAGATGGTCATAGAATACTAGTAATTGATCATTAACGTATTCTTAAGATTTGTCTCGTATATTGAGACCACCGAGTGATTAAGGTTAAGTTCAGTCGTAGGGTACTAATTAAAGTTGATATATCGTTTATTAAGATTGTCGAATCTCCAACGACTAATGTGGCTGAGACATATAGTACATATTACTCAACCACCACCTACCTAGACGCGTGATGCGCTCTGGCGTAGAAATGAACTGGAAGCAATGTTAAGGGTGCTAAATCAAAGCTCAGCATAAGTCTGTAAAGTAATTGACTATTAGACTATAGCATATCCAAGCTACCCCGCTTTAGTTCAGAATCTACCACAATGATTCAAAAGCATTTACTTTTTATCTTCTCATACATCTTCACTATCATAATTATTTTATTCTTTTTATCCTACAGATTCGTTCATTCTTGGATTATCTTCTCTGCGCCTAATTTTTCGACTGTCATTTGTATTATTACTACTGTTATTTTCTTCTTGATAATTTCTTGCAGCGCTTGTTGTGTGGTAACTTCAACAGGTGCGCGTATGCTCGGCTCTACATCTCTTACGATTGGTTGACAGATGTATCGAAGGACTAACGTAACTCTATGTCTGTAGTTAAAATAGGTTTAGAATTGTGTCCATAAATGAGTTGATGCCCCATGTTTAGACGATTGAACTGTATACACGATTTAAGAGCACTTAATGCACATGTAAACATAATCTCAAACGTATGAATGAGCTATTAATTGGCTACCACGTGTTAATAAGATGAGCTCTATTGATCGAAATTTCATTTCATTCAATTAGTCTCCCTTTATGAACTTAACGAATCAAAGAATAACAATCAAATCAGAATGATTTGAATTTATTTGTCGTCGTGGTTTCTGTTTCGTCATGTAAATTCGTAATTAAATTAGCAGAATGTATCGAACACATTAACAGATAACATAGCATTACATGATTAAAGGTGATGACCGTAAATTAATAAATTAACAGAGTATCAACAGTGATGATCTCTTTCTTTTTTGAGATTGTTCAGCAAGTGATTTTTAAAAAAAAACCGTAAGAGAATCAAGATAAAGATGATTGAGAATAAAGAGATCGCTAAAATAACGAATGTACTTCTAGCCACAATCCAAATACATTAAGATTTGCAAATACAACGCATTATCGATTCATTCGCTCGGTATCCACATAACCCAACAATAACTCATCAAAGTTCAGTCCTGGACCAGTAACCAGAGATTCATATAGACCTGAATGAACAAGTATCTTCCCAGCATATAAATTAATAGTTATTCGAACTCAGTGGATAATTTATCGGAGTTTAGATTTATAGGTACTGCATCTAAGTCTCAATGTGAGCATCACAGCAGTGAAGGCTGAATCAACTAACGTGTTCTAAATAGGACGAAACACGCATCTTGGATCCCACTGTTAGCCATATTATAACTCTATTAAATATTTATTTAGTGAATTTTTAAGTATTCGAATATATAATTTAGTAATTTAAACTAGGTTGTATTCATAACCACCATATTCAAATAGGCTGATTAAAATCTCGTTTTTTTTATTGTTCGGCATTCTAAAACGTGAAATCCTACTGTTAATTTGATTATTATTGTGATAATTCTCTTCAGTTTCAATGCATAGTTAAAAGTAGCCTAATAGTAGTATATGATGATGACGTTAAGAACACTTATGCATTAGTTAATGAAATGTAGTGTATAATCAGTTCAAATATCCTTGCATACTTAGTAAGTGGGGATTAGTTATTCACCACATTTTACTATTTTGTTGTATAATTTTAAAATGTAATCATTACTTTTTATTATTTCTCATAACATGATTTTCCTACTGAAATTCTCAAAAAGATTTGTAAAACATAAGTAATTTTTAATTACCTCCTTTTTTAAAACCTTTCTTGTTTACTTGGATAAATTGTGTGCTGATTCTAAATAAGATGTGTAGGTCGGTACACACCTACGTATTTCATAATGACATTGAACTCGGATGCTGTATATCCTACATTAGGTAGATCAGTCTTTTTGTTTACTGAACCTGTATTGTTTTATTAACTTTATTAAGCTTTCTATTTAATGAAATTAATAGGATTGACAGATAACTCCAAATTGGTAACGATAATTTCTAAGTGTATATTGATAAATTGTTATACAACTAACTGAAATATCTGTCTTGTAAAGTTTATAAGTTCTTTAAGAATTGATTATTTTAACTTCAATGGTAGTTTGTAAACATTTTGTTTATTGAAATATTTTTACATGAAAAATATGCCGTTAATATTTGTTTCATCATGAAAACAATATTTTACATATATAGGAAGTCATGAATGATCCATGGATGAATCAGGGTTATGAACACAATATACTTAAACCTCATACTGAAGAGCCAGCCGATTATTGTGATCCTGAACGTATTGGTAGGTGTTCATTTAATTACTTGTTTTTTGAAAGAATATCAATCAGTAGCTTAATGATTAAAAACGTTCAATTCTTCACAATTCTTCTTACATTTCTGATTTTAAAAAATAAAAAGAATAGGTTATTGGGTAAATCTCAATAAACAAATGACATTTGTAGTGATCGAACACACGTGGGAAAGACCAGTGCTTTGGCAAAATATGGAAATAATACGTTAAATACATAATTTGCACATCTTCCATCAGTTGTCCTTTACATGCTTCATGATTCTTTTCATTCTGTTGTTATTACAATTACTTTCTGCTTCACATTCTTTTCTCTTCAATTGAATCTTCTTAATCTTCTGCTTGCATGCATTCCACTTTCGATTGGTGCTACAAACATCACAGTGTCAGTGTGACTAATGATACAAAATAAATAAGTGATTACTCACAGACTTACACTTTCGATCCCAAGCGAATAAATATCACAATGATCAAATTAACTTTGAACTTGCAAATAAGATACTATATTTGTACTACAACATTGATTTTCTGTTTAAAATCCGTACTTTTAGATACGTTGAATCTTAGTTTGATGCTTTTAACTCAGTCAGTCACAACGTAGGACCAGGCACATATATGCATCGATACAAGTTGACATATCTCATTAGCACAACAAAATGAACACCAAATTCATAGTAGTTACTTCAATGGTAGTAATACATAAAAGAAAGATGGTGTGTAAGGAAGAAGGAATTAGTTCGCGTAAATAAAGGTATAAAACAATTTTAATCTTACCGTTTAAGGACAGACAAAGGGTGTATACACCGACGCCATTGTGATCGATTCTCAGCCATGTCACCCAAAGTCTCCAATCATTGGTTGTGACAGTCACGTGGACCCCAACCAAGTAGTTTGCATCTACCAACATGGCTCAGATTAGAATTTAGTGACTTCAAGCACTGATGCTACGTTTCGGTTCGGCCGCCCCCTTGACTTTCTTCCAACCATCCTCAACACTAGTCATCATTTCACTTCTTGGTAATCGGTGGTCGTGCATACGTAACACGTAGCCCAACCATCTCAGTCGATGAAGATTTACCACTTCATCCACTGATGCTTTTAACTAACTACACCTTGCTAATAATTTTGGCATAATTTCATTTAACTACAGTTGTATCTCGTTATCGCGATATATGTATGGGTTGGACTTCAGGATTCGTATCCTTTTTTTCTAACGAAAAGTGACGAGAATTGTTGCCAGTGTCAATTCAAACATATCAATCATCCAAGACTGTTTTTTCAAACTATGTCGTCATCTTAATATTCCTTTCACCCTCCTCTGAGACTACTACCATTATTATCATCGTCATCGTCTAATCATTGCATTTCCAATATTTAATAAAGTAACAGTCTATTCTCATAAAAAAAAGTTTGTTACAAACCAAATGCTAATAATAATAGTTTGGAATTGTTTTTATAATAATTACTTACAATAACAACGAAAATAAAACAATAATTCGATAACACTTAACGTGTATGTATTGATTACTTTAACAATTTGTTTTTATTACATTCCATATGGGTTACTTACACTTCTATTCCTCACTGTCTCAATGTGTGTGTATGTGGACTTGCGAGGAAGCAAGGGAGAGAGAGGAAGAGGGAAAGATACCTAGTCATGAATCAATAGACTTTTTCATGTATGAAAACTTTCCACTAAAGTTAAGGATACGTAAATATGATTTTTATATTTGTTTTTGTAAATTATTTAGATTATTTAATCAATGTTCTAGGTACTATTATTATTATTATCAATATCACATCATAAATTATTTTATCAGATACTATTATTACATTATAAATAACTGGATTATTAGTGAAAGATAAGAGAACTGATTTTCTCTTTGTTAAGACAAATTCACTAGGGTAGTCAGAGTTGAGAACATGTTCAACTGGTTAATTTTTTATTGGATTTTAAATAGCCCAACATAGTATTGCTTAAAAACACATTTAGAGAGAGCACACTTCATAAGAGCAATATAATCAGATTTAACTTTCAGCATTATATATGAAGTCGGACAATCCGATTTAATAGAGGTACGGGCCAGAGATCTATCCACAGTAGAATCGCTAGCAAACTATTAACTATTTGTTAAAACTAGATTTATTATTATTTCACTTCTTTCATGCTAATGTATACATTTAAATTCTTTGAGATAGACAAAATATACTGTCAGTTAATTAGGTAGATAATTAAGAGTTCAACAAAAAACTAATTTATTGTAGTATTTCGTTTTTGTTTACACTTACACTTATGTAATTATGACTGTTATTACATATATCAGATATTGAGCATCCATTATATCATATAAGCTGGAATAATTGATGCTAAATATCTGATATATATAATAACAGTCATAATTACATAAGTGTAAGTGTAAACAAAGACAAATTACTACAATAAATTACTTTGTTGCTAAACTCTTAATTATCTTCCGTGGAAGTGGTTGTATGCACGTAACCATGTGAGAGCATTTCGAGAGGGAGAGCTGACTCTCGGCCGTACCGGGGCATTTGGGGGAACGCATGTAGAGTAGCTTGAACATTATAGCCGAATAATAGATTTCAAAATTATTTATATCATCTGGGATAATCTTCCCAAGCTACGTAGTATTGAGGAATGTGTTTCCAGATAACTTGGGTATTCCGATAAGCGAACGTTCATAAATAAGTATCTCAATTGTTCTATAATCGGTTCCGGGTGACAATGTTATAAGTTTTTCTACAAATTGGTTATTAAAGTAATAACTGTGAACTCATTAATTGACTAACTTCTAGATGAATTTTTATCTAATTCTATTGAGACTGTTTCAATGTCATTTTTGTAAGAAACAAAACAATTATCCGCCAATTTTATTGAAATTATTAGAATATGTATTCATTGGTTGCAAACATAATAATTTCAAAGCACAGTGGATATTGTAATGCATCAATATTCTAATTACCGTTTAACACGTAGCTTCATTGGTGTTAGCTGCTTATTAGTCAAAATACCTTTTTGGTTTTTATTGTTTTCTTAAGCTTGTGCGTAATTTGAAATGAATACTATTTTTGAGTTGAACAGATTTTCATCAACTGTCTATGACAAATAATTAATATCGATTCTAAAAATTTTTTCTGATTAACGTTACTTTATAACCGTAAAAGTCGTACGGCTATGCAATCAATCCAGATTTTATGTGCTATCAGATATGTACTTTAAAATAATCCTATTTCATTTATCATCTGTTCGTATATATATATTTGATTTTTACATAATTATTTCTTGATAGACATTATGATTCGTATGGGTTTCAAACGCGAGGATATTCATGATTCTTTGACCCAACAACGATTTAATAACATTACTGCTACATATTTACTATTAGCCCGTTATGATCCGCGTGTTCATGGTCGGCTACGAGGTTTGCCTAGTACATCAACTACTAGTTTGAAATCGGATAGTCAGTCGGTACGTTCACGTCAAACGCCAGAAACACAATCTAGTACACCAAACACTTCAAGATCACAGTTCCACAATTCACCATCACATAACAGTTTAGGTATGACATCAGTCACTACTACTGGTTCAGTAACTTCACATTCAATGACAAATGGCGTTACCAGTCGCACTACTGATTCATTTGGTTTAAATACCAGACATGGAACTGCTGTTTCTCGTCCTAACAAGGATACAATTTCTGCTACTACAATAACATCAGAAAGTTTATGTACAGACTCCTATGCTAATTCAAATCCATCTACAACAAATTCAAACTCAAACAGTAGTACTCGCGGTTTTGCAAGCTCAGTGCGCAGATCTATTACTGTTTCCGGACCATCAGATGCTAATCAGGTGACAGCCCTTTACCAGGCAAGTATTTTTCTAATCAATTCTTTAAACCTTCTGAAAACTTGTATAATGAAACGATTATTTAATTGTTTTTTTCTCCTGTTTAACTGGTGTTTTCACTGTTTTCAGGTGTATTATTAAAATCATCGGTACTTCCTACATTAACTACTCTTTCACCTTCAATATCAAAAAGTTCATCACCCCCTCCACCGTCTCAAGCACCGCCATCTGATATTTCTCATCAGATACCTGCAACTCAACCTTCAGTTATTACTCTTCATCCTGCTTCTGTTACCGCTCATTTAACACTTGCTAACATGTCTAACGGACCATCATGTTCAATTCCATCAAACTCTAATTCAGTGCCACCACTAGTTACATCATTTGCACGACATAATTCTCGTCCACGAGCTGCTACTCGGTCATTTTCTATTCAACCACAAACTATTGCACCATTAGCATTAGATGAAGAAGAAATTGGAAGTTCAGTCAAAAATCAACGAATGCATAGTCGAAAATCTCCATCAGTTGAAAATAAAATAAATAATCATACTAATGGATTCATGAAAGAATTATCAATTTCTTCGACAAGTTCTGAAGATGCAGTATCTGATGATAATGATTTGTATGATAAAGATTCTGGTTCTGCATCACCGACCTCTGCAAAATTATCTCATTCATCTAATAAGTCACATAAAAGTAAACATTTTTATCATACACGTAAAAATCACGCTTCTTCATTCGTGACATCATCATCAACAACAACAACACCGACAACAACGTCAACAGGAATCATAATGACACCGACATGTGTTACTTTAGCAGCTGCTCCTAATATTAATTTTAATCATAAAGGCTATTTATTTTCATCAAATGAAAAACAAACACCAGGTAAATTACTTTTCCTTGAAAAATCCAGTTTTTTACTTTCTAATATCATTATCGATTTGTCCCTACCAGTAGTTACACATTATGTTTAGATATTCATGAAAAGTGAATTGTTGTTCCATGAATTTAACACTAAACATTTCTAATTGATGATTTATATTAGTTCTCTTTCTTATGTTTTATGAGATAGTGTTCGCTAATAATAACTTCCTGTTGTTGATGTATCAAATAAATTTTCCTTACAGCACAGAGATTACAGTTTCATATTAAGTTATTATGAAGTAATCTGGACATTCATTGTGTTGATATTCATTATATGTGTGACTTGGGAAAGATTGCTGTTTATTCAAACAGTTATACTTGACATTTACGAAAACAGATGATGCATTTCAACCGCACAAGTGTTTTAACTTGACCTCTCTTTCTCAGTATATGTATTTATGTAATTGTTGTTCAACAGCTATGAAACTTGATTATGATATTGAAGAGGATTAAAAGAATATATGTCAGTTAACAATATGGAAACAATAGGACTATTAAAAAAGATACCCATAATTCACTAAATTTTCATTGTTCAACATTTCATTTGCTTGTCTATTCACACTTGGAATACGTTTGTTTTGGTTATCGATTTTAAAATACACATATAGATAAACACACACACACAAAGTACCTATATTTACTTTATGCCTATGTCCTTTTATTTTACATCAGTAGAAGTAGTGGCAGGAGTAATTTACTATTTGCTAAATTTTTTTGCCTGTATAAACTTTGCTTAAGATAAGAAAATTATAACTATACAATCAAAAACCTTGAATAACACAGTGTAATATAGATGCATCTGAATTCAGTTGTTAGGTATGCTTTCATAAAGTATCCATGCCATATATTTTTTGTGTTTTATATATTTATTTTGATGTTGGTTGTTAAATTATGGCACTTTTAAAACTCGTTTCAAATTACTACCAACGTAAATTACTTTGATAGTAAACAAATTTCATATTAATTTAATAGTCGAATTCACCAGTCAATTGAAGCTAGATCACCATTGAAATCCTGAAAGCACTGAACGGCTGTTTCACCCTAGTATGGGACTAATCATGCTTCCTCAATAAGACTGCTATTATTAGTTTCCGAAGTCTGTCATTAGTAACCGCACAATTATTATTATTATGGATGAGTAAGTATTAGAAAATGTTTTATTTATGAAAATAGACATTTTCGTCAGTCGACTTCAGCATTATGCTTTTTTATATGCTAAGACAGTAAATGATATGCCATATCGAAAAATGTTGATCTAGTATTCTTTTTATAACACTAATCATCTTTATTATCGAATCATTCTCACGATTTCTTTTCTTTAGTCAATGGTAGTTGTGAAGATACATCAACTATGAATCATGTCCAGCATCGAGAAACATCACAATTCAATCGGTAAGATCGGTGTATATAAAATAAAACCTATATACTTGCGTAATAATCAAATGTTTACAGATGAATATTGGTGATAAAGTTATCGCATTACACATTACGTTTCTTTTTTATTTATCACGTTGAGATGAAATTGCTTACACATGAGTAAAATGGTCCAACCGATTGTTATTGATAAGCCAAAATAATAAAATTATTATTAGTAAAACAATTCCTAAAGCTCAATCCATATGCTAATATCATTACACATATTATTTTTTTTATTTGACAGTGAACATATTACTGATGAATCACTGTCAAACTGTAAAAATATGATTACATTAAGAATTTTCATGTTTATAGTTACATACAAATTTAGTGGAACTTTAACACCATAAGATGTACAACAGTAAATACAAGCTAAAAATTATATTCGTAAACATTTGTTTTTCATAAACACTTGATTGAAATAGCTAATGATCGATGACAAATCATGTTATTTTTATAAAACTGATTAACAGAGATAAAAATATGTAAACTTTATCAATATCACGGTCATTTTTTAGTTGGATACGTATAAATAAGTACGATTTCCAAGTATCTTTGGTCCCAAATTTATTAATTTTTTTTCATCGTGTGATCCTTTGTGTGATGTCGTGATCACGAAGGTTGTATGTGTTTCTTTATGCCAATATTTGATAATTTGTACTATTTTTTATCTTTAGCGCTACTCCAGTTCGACGCAAATCAATTAGTACAACGAGACCTAGCTGTTGTAAGTCGAAACATGCTATTTTGTTTATGTATGCTTATTCATGTCCTTATTATAGATACCTTCATTTTTGTGCTACTAACAATTTGTAAAGTAGTCTTAGAATTTTTTCTTCATTTTGTTTTATTTGTTGGTCTAAACCTCATTTGGAGAAATTATGGTTAGTCATTTTCGTTTCATTTCAGTGACAAACACTACATTGACAGTGAATGCAAATTCGTCACCGTTCAATAATTACTCCTCAATATCGACCAATAACGATAAGGAAACTACAACTAGTTCTACTGTTTCTTATAAAAATTCAGTTAATTCAACAGTAGCAAATCGTGTTAATTTATTTAACAATGAATTAAATAAGAATAACACATCGTCTTTAGATATTGAATCAAAAAATGTAAATAGAGAACAAAATCAACCAAGTATTTATCCTAAACCACGAACAATGTTTCGTTATCCTCCTAATGCCGCAGATATACTAAAGTATGTTGAGGAATTATTTTTTGTAAAACAGCAATTATTGTACTTTATCCAATAGCTTTTGTAAAAGTGCTTTGTTTTGGTAATAAGATTATTACGTGTTTTTTTCCGTTGTTGTTAAAATATATTTGCTGCATAAGGTACTCTGTTATCAATCGAAGAATTTCAATTAATAATAATTCTAATGAATATGAATAGTTTATAACTTTGTCTATGTTTGAATCCATCTCATACTGGTAATTTTCTGTACATTCCAATGGTCTTCATTTAATTCCACATATATTTCTTTCTTGTAATTCATATATGTTTTAATTCGAAATATTTACAATTACAATACAGTATTCTAATTTACAAGGTACCAAATCATAATTGAGTTCAATTAAGTGTGCTTTTAGACATTTTAATTCGGTATAGATAAATCGATATTGGATTTATATCACAACTGACAATTTATTTCTTGTTAAGAATTAGCAAACATTAATTAATCGTCTCATTGAGATTCGTATTCAGTATTGATGGTTTTGAAATTTTTTTATTCTGTGAAATATATTATTAACTAGAGGAATTTTCACTTGACCTGACTTACTTACTTTAGCCTGTTACTCCTAATGGAGCATAGACCGCCGACCAGCATTCTCCAACCCACTCTGTCCTGGGCCTTCTTTTCTAGTTCCATCCAATTCTTGTTCATTTTTCTCATGTCTATTTCCATTTCCCGGCGTAATGTGTTCTTTGGTCTTCCTCTTTTCCTTTGGCCTTCAGGATTCCATGTGAGGGCTTGTCTTGTGACGCAGTTGGGTGCTTTCCTCAATGTGTGTCCTATCCACTTCCAGCGCTTCTTCCTGATTTCTTCCTCCGCTGGGATCTGGTTTGTTCTCTCCCACAGTACGTTGTTGCTAATAGTGTCCGGCCAACGGATCTGAAGTATTTTGCGTAGACAACTGTTAATAAACACCTGTATTTTCTGGATGATGGCTTTCGTAGTTCTCCAGGTTTCTGCCCCATACAGTAGAACTGTCTTGACATTTGTATTGAAAATCCTGACCTTGGTGTTGGTTGACAGTTGCTTTGAGTTCCAGATGTTCCTCAGTTGTAAATATGCTGCTCTTGCTTTGCCGATCCGCGCCTTCACATCTGCATCAGATCCACCCTGTTCATCAATGATGCTGCCCAAATATGTAAAGGTTTTTACATCTTCCAAATCTTCTCCGTCAATTGTGATTGGATTGGTGCATGCTGTGTTGTATCGGAGAATCCTGCTTTTCCCTTTGTGTATATTGAGACCTACTGCTGCTGAGGCTGCTGCCACACTGTCGTCTTCTCCTGCATCTGTTGTTGCGTTTGGGATAGAAGGGCCAGATCATCTGCGAAGTCTAGATCGTCCAACTGCATCCTAGATGTCCATTGTATCCCGTGCTTCCCTTCAGACGTTGACGTCTTCATGATCCAGTCGATCACCAGGAGAAAGAGAAAGGGTGAGAGTAAGCAACCTTGCCTGACACCGGTCTTTACTTCGAACGACTTTGTCAACTGTCCTCCATGCACGATTTTGCAGTTTAATCCATCATATGAGTTCTGTATGATATTGACTATCTTCTGAGGCACGCCGTAGTGTCGAAGAAGTTTCCATAGTGTTGTTCTGTCCACGCTATCAAATGCCTTTTCGTAGTCAATGAAGTTGATGTAGAGTGATGAATTCCATTCAATTGATTGTTCCACAATGATCCGTAGAGTTGCGATTTGGTCTGTACACGATCTATCCTTACGGAATCCTGCCTGTTGGTCACGAAGTTGGGCGTCTACGCAGTCCTTCATCCTGTTTAACAATACCCTGTTGAAGACTTTTCCCGGTATTGAGAGAAGAGTGATGCCCCTGTAGTTATCACAGTTGCTGAGATCGCCTTTCTTCGGTATTTTGATCAGAAGTCCTTCTTTCCAGTCTTTTGGTACTTGTTCCTCATCCCAAATCTTATTGAAGAGAATGTGGAGTATCCTTGCAGTTGCCGCTACGTCTGCTTTTAGTGCCTCTGCTGGAATGTTGTCCGGTCCTGCTGCTTTGCCACTCTTGATTTGTCTGATGGCCATGCTGATTTCTTCAATTGTTGGTGGGCCAACATTGATTGGGAGGTCCGTGGGTGCTGCTTCGATGTTGGGTGGGTTCAGTGGAGCTGGTCGATTCAAGAGTTCTTTGAAGTGTTCTACCCACCTGTTTTGTTGCTCTTCAATGTTGGTGATTACCTCGCCTTCCTTGCTTTTCACTGGTCGTTCTGGTTTGCGGCGATTTCCAGAGAGTTTCTTTGTCGTGTCATACAGTTGTCTCATGTTTCCTTCTCTTGCAGCCTTTTCCGCCGTCGTTGCTAAATCTTCCACATATTTACGTTTGTCGGTTCTGATGCTCCTCTTCACTTGTTTGTTTACTTCTGTGTATTCAGCTTGTGCCTTGGCTTTTTCTGCTCTTGTTCGACTGGTATTGATTGCTGCCTTCTTGTTCCTTCTTTCTTGAATCTTATCCAGTGTATCAACAGTGATCCATTCCTTGTGATGGTGCTTCTTGTGACCCAGGACCTCATGACATGTTGAAGTGATTGCCTCTTTGATCCCCTTCCAGTTGCTCTCCACAGTAGTTCCTTCTCCATTGAGTAGATCATGAAAGGCCTGGAACTTGTTGCTGAGGACTATCTTGAATTTGTTGAGTTTGTTAGTATCCTGAAGAAAGGCCGTATTGAACTTTTGTGATATTGTCCGCCCCGTTGTCCAGTGCTTCTTGAGTTTCAATTTCATCTTGGCGACCAGCAAGTGATGATCTGATGCTATATCAGCTCCTCTCTTGGTTCTCACGTCCTCTATAGTCCTCCTGAACGTTTTGTTGATGCAAATATGGTCGATTTGGTTTTGTGTATAGTGATCCGGTGAAGTCCATGTGGTTTTGTGTATGCGTTTATGTGGGAATATGGTGCCGCCTATGACCAGCTTATTGAAGGCACATAGATTTGCAAATCTCTCACCATTTTCGTTCCTTTCTCCCAGTCCGTGTCGTCCCATGATGTCTTCATATCCAGTGTTGTCCGTTCCAACCTTGGCGTTGAAATCTCCCATCAGAATGGTCAGGTCCTTTGTTGGGCACTTCTCGACGATTGACTGCAGCCTATTGTAGAATTGATCTTTAGCGTCTTCATTGTAGTCGTTGGTAGGCGCATAGCATTGGATGATGTTCATTGAAATGCCCTCTTTCTTTGTTTTGAACGAGGCTTTGATGATCCTTGGTCCATGAGATTCCCATCCTATAAGTGCATTTTGCGCTTGTTTGGACAGCATCAATGCAACTCCTTGTGTATGTGGTGCATTTTCTTCTTCATGGCCGGAGTATAACAGGAGCTCTCCTGTAGTTAGTCGTTGTTGTCCAACTTGTGTCCAATGTGTTTCACTGATCCCAAGTACCTCTAGGTTGTATCTTCTCATTTCTGCAGCAATTTGGAAGGCTCTCCGGTGTCCCACATTGTACGAACATTCCATGTACCTAAATAAATGGTCGCTCTGGTTGTCAGAAGGGGCATCGGCCTCGTAACTTCCGAAGGAATTCGGCTTTCATCATGAGGCGTCATAATTCTTCTAAATGAAGACCTTCTGACTCCCAGGGCAGAGTTTAAAAGGTTTGAATAATTTTTTCTGGTTAGCGTTTTTTTAGCGAGTTAGTTTTCTACGGGATGGGGACGCTAACCCCATGCCCAACCCTCCTCCTTTATCCGGGCTTGGGACCGGCAGTAGCCCCCGGAGGGACTCTAGGCGAATTTGACCTGACTTGCTATACTTTATTTCGAAAAATTATTGTTCTGTGACAAAAAAAGTGCAAATTTGACGAGATTGCTAGTAAAAGCAGTAACTGATCGGAATAAATCAAAATCATATCAGAATAAGGAGTAAATTCATTTTCATATTCTTGATATCTCATGATACCAAGACTAAATGACTCTTGTCAAAGATTGATTTGTCGATTGTCTATATCAGAGGAAAATATACTGTGTTGACTTCCAATTTAAATTAACTGTTCTCCAGGATATTTACATAATTTATGATAAACTGAAAAAATTTCAGATTATACTTGTACATTATTGGAATATTCTCAAGCTCACTCAATTGAACTTTGAAATCAAGCAGAAAAGTGAACGGTGATCTTCAGTATGAAATAAGATCTTGTTCGTGAACCTCTAAATTAAACTTCCTACTTCAGACTTTGGGCAGATGTTTTTAAATAGGATTTTTTTCTTGCTAAACTTGAAATATCCTTCTATAGGTTGGATTCGATTCGTGAATCTTCTAGTCTTAAGCTGTTTTTTTAGTCACCTGTTTAGACTTGGCAGTTAACTGGTTCTTCTGTAGCATACCTTATTTGTCCCATAAATCGTACTATTACTGATCGCATTATTCTGTCTAGTTATTCAGGGGTAAATTTAAATCATATAACAACTCATTTACTCAGAGTATCATTACTTCTAACTACATGTTTTCACCAGTATTATCTTTAAAAGTCATCTACAGGAGCAAACTACGTGATTCAAAGAATGTGTAGATCACAAGTATATCGACTAGTCAATTTAGACAAAACTTTCTGTTAAACTGTGATATTTTCAATCTATTATGTCATTATCACTTTTATATTCCACTCGTTTTAATTTGCTGAAGTAATTATTACTTGTCACTAATTGCTTATTTTCCGTTATATTTGTTATTATATAATCGTGTTACTTCTTGTTTAGTAACAAGCTAACTCAGTGTTATAGTTCTAAATATTATTGCACCATTTTAGTAAAATAGTTATTCTTGCTTAAAACGTTTCCTTCAAAATTTTCGTTTAATAACAAGACTACAATTATTTACCTTATTTATTCATTAACAATCGATTAACTTATAATATTAAAATAAATAATGACAAACAAGTGTTTATCAACTGGTATTTTAGATTAGAATAAAGAAAATAAAACTATGAATTCGGTAAGCTTATACTGAATTCAAAATATTGTATTACAATTTATTATCCAGTAAGTTGAACAGTCACATTACATGTAATGAAACCTCTATATGATATCTGTTTGAATTCAGCAAGAGTTTGAGTAATATTTTTTCGTTTAGTTATATAATTTTATGCAGTTTGGAAATCGGTTCCTCTATCATGATCGTCTGAGTAATCATTGAAATTTACACAGCAGTAGACAATTACTTGATCATTCCGGTTTTGAGATTCTTTTAATAATTAGAAACTGCAATTGTACGCGAAATAAAAATGAGGACATTCAGGATTTTGCAACAAGCACTACACCTTTAGATAACCAAGATTAGGGGTCCATATTTTGGCATTTAGTCGATTGATGATATACAGTTTGATCTTCATATTATGTTACCGATGTGTCACTATTTCATTCTTGACTGAGGCAATCCGCTTGTGTTAAATACATTTTGTAATAACAACGATCACAAGCTTCACATCTGACTTATTATTTGGTTTAACCGAATCAGAGGAAATTTAGATAGTGTTTAATACAGCTCATTTGTTATATGCTTACAAATAAAATACCATACAATACAGTACTTTTTTTACCTTATATTGATTAACTATTCAAAGTGGTCAACAAAATAATTTTTATGTCTAATAAATATGATAAATTTTGAATTTTATTACTTCTTATGTATCTCTCGTGTTTATTGTTACTATTAATTATCCAGTTTTTATTTATATTCTTTATTATATCTTCTAGTGAATCTAATCCTTTTCGATTAGTCGATAATACATCAGCAACTGAGTCGTCAATTACACCACCGACTATCCCACCACATAGTTCTCGTTTACCTGGAGGAGTGAATAATACAACAATTAAACAGTTCAATAATAACAGTAATACAAGTCAAGCAAATCAATTTTTAGAAGGAATAACAAACACAAGTACAGTTAATAATAGTATTGCTCCAATTAACTCGTTCGGTGCTACAATAAGGCGTCCTACAGCACCTGTCCCACAAAATACTATTGTACCTAATTCATCTGTTTCTATTAATCCAACAACACGTACTTCTTATGCTTATCATTCATTAAGGTACTTAATGATTTTACTCTCCCTCTTTTTTTGAATATTTTTTGGCAATAGTGCATAGCTAATATATTTAAATTTAAACAATAAGCTGTGTAAGATTTCCACATTAAACTTCTAATCATCATTTGATAACTTACCTAAAGTTTTGATTCAGCAAAATTACTAGGATTTTAATAGCTATGTATTTTGTAATAAAAGTGGTTAACCAGCTGTGTTTTGAAGCGTTGATTTATCGGTTAGTTGCGACGTGATGATTCACATTTCAATTTATCGTTTTTCTATCTTCTCGGAATGAGTACAATTATCTAGTATCAAGATGACTTATTCCCCAGTTTTTATAGAATACATTAAGCTAGACTCGATAATTGATTCCGCACACTTTGTCAGTGAATAATTATCTATACGAGCAATTTCTCGTAGCTATTTATACATATTTTTTAAATTTCTAAGCCCATGTTTCATCGCCTCAAAGCAAATCAGAGCAAATTACTGTATAATGTATTCACCCTTTTATAGACAGTCTGATATCCGTCCTATTTTACAATTAGCGTATGTTGGCGAATTCATAACGAAACGTTTGAATCTTTATCGAAATTTCGTCAGTTATGAACTTGTCAGGATCGATAAAACTTCCAAAATGAATGAAGTTATCAATGCATTTGACTATTGTACTATGGTTTGAAACATTATAACGAGACAAAAGTAACTTATAGAGGGAAGTAAAAGAAGTGTGTAAGATATCGTAAACTGTCTCAGAGTAATTACATTTACTTATCCTACACATATCGATTATTGGATTTAAGTTGTGCCTTCAGTTGGCAACCACTGATTTCCTTAATTTTATTATATTTGTTGATTTGATGAATCAGTAAAAAGTCAATCCACACCACTCAAATTATTTTCACAACTTGATCAATAGATCAACGCTTTTTTACTACTTCAACATATCACCATTTATAAAAGATACCTTTGAGATCAGAGTACCTGAACTCTTCTCATATCTTTAAATATCATATGTACATGAATGATTAAAATTAGAACTGTCTATTATTCTCTTGGCAAATATTTAACGATTTCATTTACAACCCTCATTGATGTTGACCAATGATTAGCAATCTAACAACATATCGATAATGATGCCTCTTCGATAGTCAAGCCGTTTTAGCTGATGCAAGCATCCGAATATATCTCTAAGTTTCTAAGATAATCATAGATTTATAACAATCAAAGAAAAAGATGTTTTTCACTGAGAAATTATGAGTTCTTTCCGAAAGTAACTGGCTCAAAACTTACTATCTGTTTCAGAAACGGTTTTGACACTTGATAGTATTTTTTTATAGGTTGCAAGACTGACAATTCGTATTAGAAACCGATGTAAATTATTGTTCCCCATATTGTCTTTAAAATCTTTAGTCAGTAATTGAAATGAGATAAAAAGGCAGAAAAAATGATTAAAATACAACTTGAACTGTATGGTTTTATAAGTACATAAACAAACTATCAGCACTACTAAAAGATTAAAAAATGTTACAGTACATTAATTTGAACATAACTGTTTAAACCATGTAAGACACTATTTAGAATTATTTGTGTCTAATAATATCATCAATCAAGTTAACTATATTTTGGTTCGGATAGTATTCACTAAGATACTTATGTAGCTTTAATTCGTCGACCCATTTTTTCTTTGTTCTAGATTGCCGTCTCATACAACTGTTAATAGTTCTACTAATGAAATTCTGTTGCATCATCAACTTGGTCGAGTAAATAATCAATTAATTCGTCCATCAGTTACCTCCTTATGGTCTAATGGCGTTAGTGAAATTGGCTCAAATCAATCACCTACGAATTCTCCTTATACAACTGATGCGACAGAGGCTACTCCAAACCTTCCATTCAGCCGTAATCTACCAGAACGGTCAACAATTCAGCATGTACCGACCGGAAGAGCCAGGGAACGTCTTGAAGGGACATCGGGTGGTCCACGACTTGTTCGTCACCCTGGAACACAAAGTATTGCTCATCCAACTAATGAATCTCACTCTCGTACGTCAGCCGGTAGTTCGAATTTTCCTACCCCAAGGCCTAGCAGTCCTGATCTATCAATATCCTCCGGAACTTCATCCGCTTCCACTTTAAGTCATCACGGTGATCGGACAGATTATGATGAAGAATCTCCAACACCAGAAAATGAAAGACATGCTGGTAATAATCAGAGAAGCCATACTATTGAACCCTCTATTCAACCACTCACTCGAAACTTTTCTGTACGTCCTTCAGTCAATCGGTTGGAACATGAATCTATTCACAATCATTCAAATACTAATGGAGGTATCAACAATTTTTTTCGTACCCTAACAACCCGTATATCCAGTAGGTGAGTGGTGAATGTATGATATGTGTTATTTTACAATAATAATACTATTACATACTATAAGCATATTTATTTTAATTAGTTGTTTAAGTTGGATGAACGTAGTTGTTAAAATTAATTAATTTTATTTCTTGTATTATGGCTAGCCATGCTGTTAAAATATGTACGGTTACAATGTGGCCATCAGTCATAGATTATGTAACCAGCGGCACGTTCCTTCTCACATATATTCATCATATTAACGTCTTGTATGCTGAAATAATTCCATAACTTTTTATTGACTGTGATTCATGTAGTGTTACCACACATACTCTTCACTTGTACTGATTTAATTTTTGGGATAAAACAGTTCATACACTCATTAAAAGTCTAGTTTGATTGGTAGAGTGTTAATTATAAACAAAATACTGATACGTTTGTAATATATATATATATATATATATATATATATATATATATATATATATATATATATATATATATATATTCTCTTTTTGTCACCATGTTACTTTGGCGTTTATCGTTCTTCACCATACATTTCTTATATTCCTTCTAATAGTAACATATACACACAGTTGAATCTAGAGATGAATGGAGATTTATAAGATTTTCGAAAGATGGGGATATTAAACTGACAGATTTTGTTGTCGAACTCAACTCCACATATTGAATTCTTTCTGGTTGACAAAATTACATATTTATTATTATTTAATGGAGACTTTACAATTGTGTGTTATGTATATTAATAGTATTTTTCTTCCTTTTTACTATATTAAGTGTTTTTGATAAAGAAATTTCAGGACTTACTATCCTAGAACTGTATAATATTCAGTTAATCCCATCGAAAGATAAGTTAATTTTATGCTACAAATGTGAAACAACTCTCATTATTATAACTAGTCAATCAGTTGTATATTCCCATTTATCTAAACAGAAATTTTTTTAAAACTTGATAGTTTTTTTGATAAAGTGTTCTGTCCAAGTTATCAAATTTAGTAATTATACTCTGTAGTAGTTGTTGAAGGCAGAAGAGACTGAACAGTAAGGACTATATTCTATTTAATTCAAAAGTTCCACTAATAAGATCCATGTAAATATATCACTTCTAAGGGAAAAGTCCGAAAGAAAATAATCTTGAAATTTACTATATGATATGATTGATAATAATCACTAAATCTCTCGCTGTATAAGTCATTCGCTATCCCTGATTTGATTAGCCATGAAGTTTTCTTCTTATAATAACATTCCACTCAATACCGTCGTGTCTAATTGTTCACTAAGCATACGCCATCATCAGGCACTAGATAAATTCTTCAATTAAAAAAAATAGTTTCTGTGTATATTTTGATCAGTATAAAGAATTTATTAGTCGTAAACTCCCATTAAACCTCTGTTTCTAAGTAGCATGACTAAACACTACTACAGTGATCGATTAGGACTTTCAGAATAATCAGAAGTATGTGTTGTAAGAATGAAAATTTACAGAGATTAAATTTACATGTAGAATAGAAATTACTATAATCAGAATATCTATACACATTTTGTGGGTAAATTAAATCGAAGATTTCTATGTGAAAAATAATTATTCATCCATTGAGTTGTTTAATATTCTGCTCGTATGTGTATGCATTATTTTCATATAAAATCAACTTAATGCTGACTAGTTGCCAAGTTTATAATTTTTTAAAATATTTTGTCATGTATGTTTCAATTTTTGCAGCAAACTGTTTCGAAGGTCCGCCGTAATTCAACCCGGTTTATTGGCCACTTCTCCTGAGAACAAGGCATCTAATGTGAATGACCCCAATGATCCCGACATGAGAATGGCACCTACAATGGAGCTTGATAAACTGGCTGTCGCATGTGGAAGTCCTCCGCCAGAAACATATCACAAAAACAGTTCTATAAGACTTCCTCGAAGTCGAAGTGGAGTCACTCCACATCGGGTCACTCCTCAGGGATCTCGAAGACTAACTGATTTTAGCACAGTTACTGTTGATGAACGTTCAAGTCGGAAGAATGCAGATGCAACAGAGACTCTGAATCGAAGAAGAAATAAAAATGAAATGAATTTAGATGTTACTGGATCTATGAATCGGAGACACAGTCCATTCTCTCGAGATTCTCGTTCTCAGTCAACACATCGTTCGTCATCACGACATGATGATCGCAGTAATTCAAGACCTACTCCTCCACCAGTCCCAGCTCGTTGTGCAGTTGGGATACCTTGTTCAGGTCAAAATAAGTCTCCTTCGCCAGGAAATGACAATTCAATATCGAATAACGGTATAGCTGATACCAATCTTGGACGAACACGTAGTTTGCGATTCATGTTTCGTAATGAAACTGCTAGTCGACGCCAAATAGAAGAAATGATGCTCGATATAAAACAGGTTTTAACTAATAATAGCATTGACTTTGAACAAGTCGGTGACCTAAAATTGCAGTGTGCTTACGGTGATCCTTCACGTGGTTGTCAAATACCAAATTTGACAAATCATAGCCAAACATCTAAAAACTCTAACAGATTATCTCGCTTAACCGATAAAACAGAACATGGTGTTGTACATTGGGAAATGGAAATCTGTAAGCTTAATCGAGCTGGAGCAAATGGAGTACGATTTAAAAGAATCAGTGGATCGACATCTGATTTCAAACGTCTAGCAAATAAACTTGCCTCTGATCTGGAAATTTAATTGAAAAACGCATATATATACATATTCATAGATATACAGAAATTATTGCATTTCACTTTAAGTAGCTATCGTTTGGGTGATTATCAACCCATTTTGCTGTGTATGTTCCAGTTTTGTTTTGTATGTATATTGAATATTTAATTTTTATGTAACAATGTTCAGCTATAAATACAATTTGCCATTATATATATATATATATATATATATATATATATATCAGCCGCTTGATACTTTTCTCTTCTATTCTGAAACACCAATAAATAGTGAAAATTATCTTGTGCCTGAATCTTGCAACACTATTAAGTTGTGTTTGCATTTTCTTTTGTCTCATATAATTGTATGAATTAATTCGGGATTATTTTGACTTAAAAATCAAATAAACAGCTGATTGTATGTCATAATAATGAATGATTTCAAAACATTTTTATGCTATATCAGTTGAACTGTAGAAAAAACTATAAGCATATATTTGTTTACTGGTTAGCAGACAGTTCTTTCTTTAGTAATATACACCTGCTCTTGGTCACTGATAATTGTGTATTATTCTTATTCACTTCTATTTCCTTTCCATCTTTAATAGAACTAAAAGAAAATAATTTTAGGGTGAACAAGAACATTTGAATTTAATATGGAATTATTAAGAAGAAGGAGAAGAAGAATTGAGAAGGAAAAGATTTATACCTTTATTTCTATTGTTATAAAAAATGGTATCCGATTTTTACTATTAAATTTCTTCATTTCACTTTCACTATCTTATTATTTCTGTCAATTAGTTTTTTATTCTTATTTGTTTCTGTGGGTGTGTGCATGATGATTGTTTACTGATTAATCAAGGATTTTTTTTATTGTTTCGCCCTTTTAACGAGGATCGGTCTTTTTTTCGCTCTTTAATCCGCACATACCTGCATACACATACATAATCATATACAAATGAACCTGAATTATAGCAGATGAATTAGCTCATAATGATAATTTTGAAAATAACTTGATCTCGATTTTTCTAAATTAATGAGAAAAAAATTTATTCACTGATTGAATTATTGAAAATGTGCTTCGTATTTCTGCTCTTCTGTTTTACTTACTGGATGGGAGTTTGTAGAAACTGGTATTTGTATTTTTTTGTGACCTGTTGTTAGTAAATCCAATTGTCATGGAAAATAATATTGTGTTTAATGAGGGAAGATAAATGTCGAATCAAGGGTGTTTAATTAGATAGAATCGTGGCTGTCAGGGAAATCTATAATACGATTTTCATTCTGTTTGGGACTCGTCAGCCGGATGAAGATAAATCTCATCGTTCGTGTCCGTGCCAAAATTTGAACCCAGTCTGTCTCGCATCAAAAGCTTACTCACGATTCATTGAGTTACTGAGTCCAGATAACAAATAACTTGTTCGTTAGTTTAACGAGTCTCAAATAGAACCTGTATTACACTGCTAACCATTATTCAACTTTACCAAAGCATGTTGCTAAATATTGATATCAAGAAAATCTGCTTAGGATGCATATGTTTTAGTAAAGACTTGTCAGTTCCATTCCTCAATACTAATAATGGGAAAATACATACTCTTGTTGGCAACAGTGTATTTAAGGTTGTTTACAGTGACATAAATGTTTGTACGTTTCATTGGTTGCTCGTCTTTAACTTCTTTGAAATAGTTTAATACTGAGATATTAAACGTTCTGAATTGCACATTCATTTTTCGAATCCAAAAGAGTTGGAAAATAACTCGTCATTCGAATATAATGATTTTGTCCCTCTTGCACAGAATCTCAATGAAATCCAGTGTGGATAAATTTCAGTCAATCCACTGAATTTAGTGTCGTGAATTACATCCAAAAAAAAAATTGAGCAGAAGTCAAGCGTTAACTGGAAGTTTGATTATAAAGGTAACCGTATTCGAATAAATATGGTAAACCAAACTATTTGACTTGATATGTTTGTCATTTATCTGTATAATTGTTTTCTGAATAGGACTGTCCATGCCTGTAATTGGTATGAGTTCTGTAATTAGATTCATAACAGTTTCTGGCGATGGTAGTGTCAAACTCACGCGAAAATAAATTACATTCCAGAATGTCAATTTCAATAGATCAACTTAAATGTATTTTGCAGCAGCAACAAAAAGAATTTTGAAGCATCGCAATTGAAAATGACGGCACAAAAGCTTTTAATTCAACAAAATTCAGTACAGGTGTCCGAATTAAGGGGCTTGACTACCGAATCACTGATCAACTCAATGGGCGAGTTTCACTTTGATCCTGATGCTGGTGTTACATTTGAATCATGGTTCAGGAATTATGAAGACATTCCTCAAGTTGTGTTTTCTCATCATGACTCTTCGAAAGTGAGAATCGCACATCATAAGCCTGGAGTAGTCGAACATAAAAAGTATTCGAACCTTATCTTGCCAAAACATCCAACAATTTTTCTTTTGATTCTACTGTACAAACATCAACGAGAATTTTTACTAATCAAACTTTTTTATTTAGTTTGCGATATAATTGTCTTAGGACTGTTAAGAGACCTGAAGATGACTTTGTTTCATATTCAGCATTTGTTAATAAGTAATTCAAGAGTTTTAAGTTGCGTTCACTCACGCAAGTATTTATCGATTAACGCTAATGATTGTATTATCACTTTATAGTTGGACACTGCATCCGGTATTACTTTGATTTCTCGCAAAACTGGGTCGGTCAAGCACCTATCCTACTAACGATTGCATAAAGAATGCATCGGGCATCCTAATCAAATGTACAGACAAATTTAATGATCTAATAATTAAATTCAAATGCCATGTTACCGATGAAGCTTTCAATCTATTGGATCTTGACTAGATCACAGAATTACAAACGTTCGACCATTCATTTAATCTTATTTGTAATTCAGATTCAAAAATGCTCGATTTGCCATGCAATCGTATTTGCAATCAAGTATGTTAATATCCCCATATGATTCACAAATGTAGGCAGGATTTTTTTATTGATTCTCAAAGTGATCGCGAGGTGAGGGCACGATCGACGAAATCACTAGGAATAAACCCGAATCAAGCCTCGCTTAATGGTATCTCCCCTTATGACTCAATGTTCGGAAGGAAGACTCCGACTTGATATGATATATATAATAAGAGGAACACGAACATGCATAGTTTAGCTACTTAATAATTATACAATAAAAATATATATCGTATTGGTCCATAAATAGTTCTCAAGAGTTATCATTCCTAATTCTCGTCCAGATATAACACTTGTAATTTCATGATATCAAGGTTACTCGAACTTAATTGTTTGTCCTTATCTGAAACAGATAGTTCGTGTTTTAAGTAACAAGTGGTCCACTACTATCTTTCTCGTTACTTCAAAATAGCTCAATTTCACCACCGAAAAGTCTGTTTTGACGCAAGAAATGAGTACTGTCCTGTGGAAACTATTTAGCTGACCACGGTAAAACTTACAAAATGCTCTCAACAGTATCTACATATTTCATCATATCTTATAGATGAGCTCCTAATATCATGATCATTGTGTAAGCCCAAAAGGTCTAAAGAATTAAATGCATGACATTCTCCTGAGATAAGAATTTCAGATTCATCCTGGTATAAAATCTCAAAGCATACAACACTTGGGTGTTCATTGGATAATTCCAGTATTGGGAAAAACCTATAGTTTCGTTCTACATTTGAAAATCACAAAGTTTAAACGTAAATACTAAATAGTCTCAATGTCAACTTGTTCTTGATTATATACAAGAAATATCCCAGCATTACTGTACCTGTATAGAAAATAATCAGTTTCATTCTCCTAATCTTAATTAATACCTAAATATTGCAATTTACAAATTCTTTACGGAATGAAACTGACAGATAGATAAAGAGTACCATTTTGTTTGATGAATCATACAGAAATTCCATTATAATAAGTAAAATTTAGTTGTTTCTGTTTCCTAACAAATTTGATGCTATAATAATTACAAATGACATTTTCCAGAAACTCGGAGATGTTTAATCATACTTCCTATGATTGTTTACATCTTAAGGATGTTTCGTTTACATTATGTTAATGTCTTATACTATGTATTTAGATTACTTGAAACACTAACATTCGTTACTAAAATGGTGTGTTGAATACAGTCAGGGACACAGCAAGAGCTTTGTAAATAATGTATCCGCTAACCGAGCTTGAAACCCATGTATTTTCAACGCAATTTGTTTAATATATCCCCAATAGATTAGTGTACAGATACTCAATAATGGCTCTGGCATTAAATTGTATCTGTTCAAGATGCCATACTTCACATTATCAATGTGAAGTATAAAAACTTGAAGTGAAAGTATTTATGACATTAGCAACAGAGACCTATAAACAGAATCAAAATAACTGCGAAAAACAAATGAATAGTGTAAAAGAAGATCTGAAACACAGTAACAATAAGTCCTACTGTTAATAATTGTAAGCAATACCACCCTCCCTTCATTTCTTAATCCATCTCATATCAGTAATTAATGACCACGTGGTCCACTTAAGCTATATTGGTTAATACGTTTTTTCATTGAAAACTCAGTAGATCATCAAAGTCAATTGTTAATGTAACTCAGATGAGTATAAACTTATGTATCCGGTTTCAAATCAAATTTTGTGTGATGATTACTGATGCTGCTTAGCTGCCTTAATTAAAGTACTTTGAAAAGGTTTCGAATTGAAGATGGCACAGGTATTCAGTGTTTGACAACGGTTTTACCAGTAACACCTAATATAACTCGTACCCACCAAGAGAAATCAAAAGACAGAATCGAGGAGATCAGAAGTTGTATTTGACGATTGCATCGGAATTTTCTGATCTAGTCTGGCTAGCGATTGCAGATGTTGAGCACGGCATTCCCACACGTGATCTTGTGAGCATGCATGACCGAGCGCCTTCAGCTAGGTGAGTCCATTAAAACTAATCTGGTCAGCAGCCAACGTCGAAAACTTACAGAGCTATTTATTTTGGCGACTTATTTACCGCTAGAGAATCATCGACTTAGTGGGTGAAAAGTGAACCGATTAGCCACTAAAACCACGACTCTCATAAGTTGCACTGAAAAGTAGTGAAAACGTAAGTACTAAATAGGTATCAGCTCGAAAAACAGTTCACAACCTAACTCATGGATGAAAGAGGTTTGAAGCAAGGATCTGATGTTACGATAACAATATTAGACACTCGTTTAAAAGGTCCTGATATAGGTCTAAATTGATTTCACATCGGCTTTATTATGATTAACAAAATGTATTTTGGAAAGTTGAGAGTTCATATAAGAAGAGGTATGAAAAAATTATACCTTAAGTCGATGAGTTATACTAAAGGGTTAAAACTGCACACAAGAATAATACAAAGTGGAGATGTGTGTCAGTTAACTGACACCGTAATTATGGTGGTAATAATAATAATAATAGGAACAACTAATAATAATGATTATAGGAAGAAACAATAATAATATCGTATAAATTAAGGAAATTGGTGTACAGTGTAGAATGCTATCAAATGGGGTCGACAAGATTCTGTAAGAGAGGGGATCAAAAGTTTATAATTTGTACTGTCAGGACCAGTTGAGTTAAGAATCGGACAACTGTACTGTTATTCCAAGGCAAACGAAGAGGTCAAATATATCTCGTCTGCATACATAAGGCTGATTTATTTGAGTTCATACCGGTGACTGCTGTGTACGGCAAGAATCTTAAGCCACTTGGCAAATTACAAAACGAAGAATAGGACGACTCACAGAATTAACAAACCCTTTTCACAACCCCACCTGGATGTGTTGACGAGCACTCAAGAATAAAGCCATGTGTGTATAGCCTAAGCAAGTACCTCCACAGAATTAATGAACCTGACGAAGACACGTTGATGTGGCCATCACTGGTAACTTTCCACAGATTGGTGGAATCATTAGCTGAGGCGAATTATCATTTGTAGGTATTAAGCGTGATTTCAACAGGTCTATTGGGTGAGATTATGACACTACCTATACCACCTTTGAATCGAAGTCTGGATTGCAGAGCTCTCTTCACGAATGTCCTTGCTGTTTCCCGCAAATTTTGATAAACCTAACTAGAGTATCTTCATTAAGACACCCTTGACATTAGTTTCAATATTTATTCTCCTATCTTCAGAACATATACATCTTAATAGTGTCGAGTTGTGATCAGTCCCTATTTACTTTCTAAATGTATTCTTTCTTATTGAATCATTCAATCTTTTTGGGAGGATGTCAAGGCTGGAGTTATTGAGAATTATTCAAAGTACTGTTTTTTTCAAATGATCTACAATGACTATTAACGTTTCTAAGGAAGATCAACACTAACTCACTTTTCCTCAGATTCTGCCATATAATCTTCCACACCCTAAACGATTGGAAAACGATACACACAAGCTTGTTACGTATTTTAACTAGACTACTTGGGAGTAACTACTAGTTATCAATATAGGGTTGTAGAGATTGTTGAATTTTGATTGAGATCACGAATTGATCAATGTTAGACCACTGAAAACCTGGGAGCACTGGACGGCCGTTTCGTCCTAGTACGGGACTAAGTTGACGTTGTGTTCGATATTTAGTCTTCACGTAACACCTTCAGCAAATATTTCCCAATGCCTCATCCAATTAGTCAATACACATGGTTTCTTGAAACTTTGTAGCTGAAGTAGGTAATTTTCGCGGAGCTGCGTACTTTGTAATGGATGGGTCAATAGTATGTTTCTATTGTTCCATTGGACATCACTAACAAAAACTTATACCAAAGAACGAAAAACCACTAGATAGTTCTTAACATGATTAAAATCGACGAATTCTTGTTTCTACTCCATTCAGCTGACATTGAGAGATAAAGTGACGCATTACAAAAACATCCCGACTATTACATATACTAAATGTCCCAAACTTCATTTGATTTCCATTCAACTTGAGCGCTCAATAGAAATTTTAAGATTAATGTTAACACTGTTCACATGAAAACTCTAGCATATGCAAACAGTTCCATTAAGGAATAAGTGAACAAACAGTTAATATCTTAATATAATCACCCACGACAGCGTCAGTTGAATAGTGAATGAGTAAGCACTGGTACGTTAACAGTATCACTAAGATTAATCTGGCCATTTTTCCTCAAGGTCCAGTGTAACTGTAAGGCAAAAAATAACGAATAACCTCGCTTCATATCAATATAGCTACAGGAAGTTACCCTTATGTTGACCTGTCATCCGAGAATGCTACTGTTTTATACGCTTCCAATAGACGTGACCAAACCAGCAACTGGAGTGAGAAAGTCAGGTGTGAGTATGAAGCTACTACTGGCGAAAGAAATCGAAAATGCATCCACAAATCATTCGTAAATACAAGCAGATGTGCCTCAGGAAACCAAGTTGCCTATAACGTATTTCTGCTTCCGCCGAAAGTCCAGTCAAATCATAACCAGTAGCGTACGCCTGCCAGAACCCCAAAACTTATCATTTGCTCTGATTCTGATTGGTCCAGAACATCAGTTGCTAATTTTAAATCATTTTCCTAACGCATAGTAATTTCTAGAAACTCAAGGTATTCAAACCTGATCCAGGAAACCAGGATATTCCTGGTTACAAACGAAATAAACGAAAAACATTAGCATTACATATTTATTTTTACATAATCTAATATTAAGAAATCTTATATATCCATAGACGGCATGAATTCTGTACACTCTGTGCTTGAAACATTTGGCTGTGTGCTCGGTATCCATGTGGCAAAAGTTATGTAACCCGTATGACCCCGCATTTTAGGCTACGAAGTGTAAAACAAATGTTCATTAACAATGAATTATCACAGAATTATGAGCATTAGAACAAATAATGTCGGAATTAGTAAGAACTAGGGAACTATGTACACGATTATTGTAAAACGTAATTAATAGTGCATATATCATGAACAAACCTAATGATACTAGTGAAATACAACTAATTAAACATTAAGAGCCAATAATAACACATAACATATACTACAGTCAATAGCTGGAAACGAAGTTTAAAAGTAGTTAACCGATTCCGCATACAAACACAAGTTTTTATATCGAAAAGAGAGCTATACTATTGTGAGCAAAATACCTAATATATTGCTACGTTTGAAGCGATTACGAAACCACCTAAAACGGGAGAACAGAACGGAAGTCAGTAACACAACAATAAGATAAGCTAAATTATTCCACTACGCCCCAGCCCTGCTAACTAGAGGGAGAAGACCAGATTCAGCCGAGGGAAATGCATATTACGCGAACAGTCGGAAGCACGAAAGAACGACACACCACTCATGTGTATATATACAGCACGAAAATTTCCTTGGAAAACTTCACAAAGTAGTGTACTGAAAGAGGAAACAAAACAATGACATTAAGGTCCTTTCAAGTGGGAAATATAATCTGAAGCCAAAAATGGGTGCTCTTGGCAAGAAAGTGAGAAATCCAAATTTTTTAAAAAAAATACAAAAATAAGACGATTAGCGAGTCATTTCTGGAGATCTAGCATCCCCAAAACTCAGCATTTTTAATAGTTTGTTCTTGGGGCTCACTTGCATCTTGACCGTTTTTATCTCTGTTGTCGAAGTGACTACCTTCTGTAATGTAGATCGATTTGTTGCTGTACTTCTTGCGCAGAGACTGAGGGAAGGTTGAAGGTATTCAACAGAACTTCGAGTAGATGATCTGGAGCTAACCGTTTCCGTAGCTGGTTCCGGTGTCAAGTCTACCTGTGATTCAGTTCAGGAATCGTGGTTTGATTCGTAGTCTGGAGTGAACACTAGACATCCAACCTTCGAATGTTGGCAACTTCCAGGACCTACTCTATGGTGGTGGTCTTCGAAGGCATCGAGCTGTGGATCGTCCTCAATCTTCTTATGAGGATCTTTGCTGGGGACTTCTGCTCTGGTAACGTATCATTTGGCGTTGTTCGATAAACAAACAAGGAGTTTTATAGTAATTCGACTGGCATTCCCTTCCCTTTTGACTCAAGTAAAGCCCTCTTAAACGTGTCCACAAACCTTTCTCCTTGGACATTTGATTGTAAGGGAGAGGGAGGAAATGTTTGATGGCTAGCCGTCGGCAGAGTTCTTGGAACTGGTTGAAAGTGAACTGCGAACCGTTATCTGATACAATTACACCATACAATCCGTTCAGGAAGATCACTGTCAAGAGCTGCAGCGTCTTGATCATCATTAGTGACACGATGGGGAGGATTTCTGGCTATTTCGGGAACGCATCAACTACAAATATATAAGTAGTTCCATTGACTGGGACGGTGAAGTCGGCATGTATCCTGAACCAGGGATATTCAAACTGTGGCTATGAAACCAGCGGCATTTTAGCGTTAAATTTCGCAGCTTGTTGACGCTGCGTGCATCTGCCTATCAAGTTCATGGTGGGCTGGTCCATGAGTAGCCAATATGCAAAACTTCAAGCTATAGACTTCATTCGTTTTACTCTGGGATGACCAATATGAAACTGCTTCAACACATTTGATCGTAGGATTCAGACATCACCACTCTCTCCAAACATCATGCATTTGTTTACGATGCACAACGAATCTCGATGATGGTAAAGTTGCTTCATCTTGCCATCTAAACTAGTAGACGGCCAACCGTTAGTAACGTAGTTTATCGTCTTCTTAATGATCGGATCATTCCTGGAAGCAGCTTGGATCTCCTATGCTGACACTCACAAAGCACGAATGGCAGTCGTCGGTTAACATTTTGCGTGATCTTCTGTCGAAAGCGAAGCGATAAACATGTTTTCCTCTGACGTAGTGTTCACTGATACGTCGCGACAAAGCGTCCGCCTGACCAAAGTGTTGGGTGCATCGGTACTGAATTCCGAAATCATGACCCAATAGTACCAAGGCCTATCGCTAGAGACGATTTGCAAAATGGGTTGGGACACCAGATTTTGAACCAAAAACTGTAAGAAGCTTGTGGTCTGTTAGAAGAGTAAATCCTCGTAGGGTAGAGACATTGGTGGGAGTAGGCATCGATTATATAGCTCGAATATTTTCGAAATCTGGTCGGTGGTCTTCAGCGTCAAAGATGAATCTCAAGTATTTCACCGACTTTAAGACCTAACATGCTCAACATTACGAAACAATCATTCAATATTTAACAGATAAGCAAATGAAACAATCGGTTAAACAAGGAACTAAATCCAAATAATTTAGAAATACAGCTGAGAAATCCTGTACACCAAGTTAATTAAATAATTAGTTCAGTAATCACACAGACTTGTCAAGGTTACACATATTATTTGATTCCCCAAAAAGTAAATGGGCTGGGGCTCTAATCAGGGGAGAAATTCACTGTATCGTGTCAAGCTAGATTGTCAATATTATCGTTTCAATGAACTTGAATGCCTACTTTCGATGAGGCTCTTCACGAAGTTTGACCAGGTTATTGAATCAACTACATTGGTTTATGAGGAACCCAACTGTGTTCAGGTTGGGACTCATTTGCAAAGTACAGACACATGCATTGGGCTTCAAATGACACTTGTTCGACGATTAGTAACATTACCCAATGACCTAAATCCAAGATGGTGGAAGTGTCTTGATTCGATGGAGTGTTGCATTTTCTAATCTTAAACTGATTTGTTTCATATTAACAGCAAGACTGAATTAAAATTTTATAAATTTACCTTGCAAGAATTTAGTTTAAAAGTGCTAAATCATGCTTTTTATTGAAACACGTTTCAGTGGTAAACGGACACCCAAGTAAAGAAATACAACTTGATAAAACGTAAAACATTTTGACGCACTTGTAGAATCGGTTCCCAAGTAAAGCTATTTTCAACTTTTGTAGAACTCTCTATATCTCTAAGTTGTTTAGGATTGATCGATTTACCTAGCTCTGGATTTGGATGACTGCGTTTACAATGAATATTCTCTATCTCGGATGTTTTAGGAGGAGGAAGCAGATGTTTGTTGAATTGCGAAACAGAACTCATATATTCACTGAAACCACTTTGAAGCCAAATAGAAGCAGTTAACTGCCCTATAAATAATCATGAGGAGTAGTTAGGTGATAATCAGTTTAGCAGAAAAACTGAAATCGCTATGAAGCAATAAATATTACATTGGAATAAGATTTCTAATATCTGGAATTAGGTCCAAACGTAAATGGTGACAGGATCTCTAGACATACTTCGCATAAAAAAGACTGGTCGTTCGAAAGATTATAAATCAAGGTGAGATAAAGGATTTTATTTTAATATGGTGTCAGATCTATACGGATGCCTTGCATCCAAAGTATGATAAAAATTCCACAACTAAATTGCCAAGAAACTCCTGTTATCACAACTTACTGAGATTATGGACCGACCAATGTTAGACCATCATTGAAAAACTAGAGGCACTAGACGGCCGTTTTCTGACCGTAGCTGCTGCCTTGACGTGGTGGTCGGGTTTGCCTATTGTGACAATTAAACAAGCACTTGACCTCTAGACCATTGGGTCGGCATCCAATGGTGTTATTGTCTAATTTCAGTCAATCCACGATATTGAGCGACCATCTTCCATTGATTCCGGTGGGTAACTGCCTCACACCCAACACGGTTGGACTCCACTGATCACGACTTTCCACTAAGACTCTGAGAATTCGCTCTCGAGGCTAGTCACTAACGAGCACAGTGATCACGATCTCAATGATAATACAACAATCTCCACAACCCCTTTACTAAAAATTAACTTAATTTGTAGAGCAGAATGTTAAAGTCGACGAAAGAACAAGCGTTATAAACCCATGAACTCATACGGTTCAGTTTAATTTGCATCGTTCTACACAAATTAGATATGCTTGAAAATTGGTCTTACTACTATATACGTTTCGACCTCTTATCACCCCACTTTTTTGTTCCATATTCACGGATGATTTTGTTGTATTTCTCTTTTAATTCTACACTCATACAAGTATTATAATTTTTTTATCTTTAGATTATACGTGCTGATGATATACTGATGCAAACTTTCTACTTTAAGAAATGACGTTTAAGCCATTTTAAACCGCAACAAAACTCCAATAAGTAGCGCAGGAGTATCATTATTACAAAGACAATACGGTAACTGATTTCACCAAGTCTTGTAAGATGTAGATTTCCTAATGAGGATCGAGATTATGGTTGCCCTAGATAATATAGTTCGAAATCGATCGCAATGTCACAGAAACATTTAAGATTTAGCTTCCTTGAAATCTTGTAAATATTGTTACTTGAAATTTATTTTTCTGCTGGATTATATACTTTATTCTCATTTTTTATATCATGCCATTCTCGTCAATGTTTTTCTCCAATAATACTATGCAGTATCAAAATTTAAGACGAAGCACTTTCTACGTTGAACCTTATCATTCAAACTATTTTGAGGGTCCAAAACTAAGGATATTCATAGTATGAGCAGTCTATTTGACTTGTTTAAACCGTTACGGTATTTTGTGATATTTGGAAGTGTAAAAACATAAATTAATAAACCTTTCTCCACTTTTAATAAGTCAAGAAAAATGCTAGTGATTCGTAATCTCAATATCATACGAAACAGGTCATAATAGTGATCCTTACATTTCAAGTGATTCATTTGTTTTCTTGGACAAATTATCTACGTAAACCCAATAATTACAGATTTTCGACAATCGGTAATTTGTATTAAGATGAGGAGATCGAGTCTATGAACTCAACAGATTTGTTAAATAAGTATGGAATTGTAAAGTTATATCGGAATTCCGGAGTTCCGTCAAATTTTTGTCTGCAAACATTTCTGTTAACCACACAAAAAGTTCACAAACCATTAGTTAATATTTCGAGTAGTAAACCACTAAGAAGCCAATCCAAACAAACATTTTATCTGCGTCTGTTATTTTTATGCAGATAATAGAGGTGATGAGTTTGACTAAGAGATGTGTGTTTTATTACGTTATCTTTGCTTTAGTTAGATGTTGACAATACACTGTATTTCTGAGGAACGTGTGGAGAAATTTATACCCTGATAATAAGCATATGTAAAAATAATTACCCATGTTTGGAATGTTCAACGTTGTTCGTGACACGTCATACTCCCTCTCCAGACATTCAACTGTGCTTATATGTTGAAAACCTGATTCTAGTAAAGCTGTACACGATCTCTGAACTTGTTCGATACAAGGTGAGAATAAACACACACGACCAACTAAAAAGTAAAATGGATGTGGGAAACTAAATTATTCGCTTAATATGGTTTGCTACAGTCAAACTAAAATTGAAATACTATCAAAAATGATATAAAATTAGTCACAAACCAAATGGAGGGATCCCAACTCACTGTTAATAATAAAATACAACGTTGTAAGGTGACAATATTAGTCAACGTGCGTATTTATTAAACAGAAAAGACTCTCCTTGGATTTTGGCTTCCATTTTGATTTCAGTTGGTTGATGCTTATATTTTATCGTACATAATAAGTCACGACGACTTAATTTCTGACCAATAAAAAGACGTTTTTTGATGTACTGCAGATGAACACCTTAAAGAAATTTTGCCAGACATAGAGAAAGTGGATTTCCAGTCATTTTCGTAAAACGAAGGGATTATCTGACTACAAGACAAGAATCGAATTTACGAAAAGTGAAGCAATTGGTTCGATATTACATATGAGATACAGATACTGAAGGTATACAGCACAGAGGCTAAATATATTCAAAGGGAGATCCATGACATCCTTGACTGATTTTGTGGACTGTGTGAAGGAACGAAAGTCCCAAGCAGAGTCTCTCAATGTACATAAGTCTAGTAGCCGAGAAAAAATCAGATAATCGAAAAGTAAAAATATTCACTTATGAACTGAAAATTTAAATTTCCATTTTGAAATCTACTGATTGTTCGCCTCCTGAAAATGTCCTCTAGTTATCATTTTGCTGATTATATGCTGACACGCTGTTTGTTGCAGCTTTCAAGTTCATTGACTGAATCAAGCTTCACTAAACTAACCACCGGAGATGAGGTAAGTGTATACCAGATATACAAGGTCCAGTCTTCTGAATTTTAAGGAACACAGAAAACGATCTGCAAAAGCAACATAGAGATGGGCTACACGGTTTTCGCCTCATTTCAGATAACCTTCCTGCACATTATAAACTATCGTTACTCATACATAAACAACTTCGGAAACCAGGCATAATTTTAATGACTATTACTTCTGTTACCCTATTAAATTAGCCTTTGGTTGATTTTATTTTGAATATTATGGTTACATATACAAAGAAACTGATCGACGATTCAGTAACCCATATCTTATGGATCACGGAAGTATGGACAGGATATTAAAGGTAACTGAATTCTTCCCCTAATCAGCGTCAAAACCTATATTTCGTTACTGAAACTGTGATGAAGTGGTTAAAAATTAACTAAATAAGCTACTGAGTCGTAGCTACTCATGAAAAAAGGGACGAAATATTTAAATATGTTTCGCACACTATTTTCAGATACTCTATAAAAAAAATTACAAACTACTTGAATCAGGACGGAGAGTAGGTCCAAGATGAGGAATAACTACCCATGGCCTAGGCAGATCCAAGACAACAGCATCTACACCATTAGGATTTAATTCACTCCCGATTGGTGGAAAATAATCATTACAAACATCACGGATATCAACCTTCACAACATCCCCAAGTGAATGTGACTGAATAAATCATGGGATGAAATAAAAAATAATATGGAAATGAGTATTCTTGAAAAAACTATATCGTCATTTTACTCTTCTAAAAGTAGATGCATGAAGAAACGTGTGCATCGAAGATAGAAATTAACGGATAATCTAATTCCGTGGTTTTTTGTCAATAATGATCTACACTTCAAACTTTTACTTATTGTAATGAATCACTATTTACTCTAAATACTCATAACTAAATGGTACATTGTAGAACATCATATGACATAAAAGAACAATGTATGGTAAATTTTATGACTGGTGGTTGACTGTTATGACTGCGTCGCCAATTGTTATATCTGGTCGTCGCTAATTCTTATGTCGAAATAGCTGGTCACTCATACTTTTAAAACGAGGAACCACTAAAATTCCCACGACGCGAAAATAAGAACACAAAGACTGGTACGAGTGGAGGTTTATGAACCCCGAAACACGACGACGACCCTAGCCGAAAATACACTCATTTATATATTGATTGTACATCTATCTTGATTATTAATTAGGATGAAATCATATCAAAAATACCTAGAATTATAACAAATCATATGCTGAGCATGACACTCAGCATAATTCATTTTAATTTAATACAAGAATACCGTATCTTGAACAAAAATCACAGTGAGTAAAAGAATGTAATTTTGCTTTTTAATTCCAACATATCAGTAAATAAGACTCAATTGTGCTATGCCACACAAAATATTCTAGGATAAAATGTGTGGTGTTTACGGTAATGTAATTAGTGGGTAAATCAGTTCCAACAGGCATTATCTAGAATGTTCCAGTTTCTGAAATATTCTATCACAATGACCTGACAATAGACTTAACGTTTTCTATGCAATCAAGAATAATGTTTAACTCAACAGACTCCTGGGCAACTATCCATGAAGACCATTTCCACCATATCAATAACCGAAATATACAAATCTACTTAAACCTGTATAGGCAAGAAACAAAACTCACATTGAACTCTTCAGATGCCAACTTAACACGTTCACTATGAAAATCAAACGTATGAACATGACCATGGGGTAATACAGCTTGAGCTAAGAAATGCGTCAATGATCCGCTGCCTGTCCCCGCTTCGAACACCCATTTCCCAGGAACCAAATCTAATCCTCCAACAATTAAACTTGCATCACATGGATAAATTATTTGAGTCCGATGAGGCAGTGTTTCTGACCATAGAGCTGGACTTAACGCTAATATATACACATATCCACGCGATGTTTGAATCTAAAAGCCCAAGAATAAACTCAGTGATAATTATGAAATGGTTGTGACGACAGTGATTCTAATGTACGATTTTGAGAAACGAAAACGACAAAAAACACATACAAGAAAAGAAAAGAATAGAACTATCTGCGTCAGTAATCTTTATTGTCAGAAGCAAGCAAAATTGTATAAAACTGATTTAGATAAAGGTCTAACAAATCAGTAAGAAATTGCAGAAACGGAAATACTCTTTAAAAGGAAATATTGTCAGACTGGAGGAATTATCTTTAGTTTTTTACCGTTTGAGCAAAACAATCAACTATGGGTCATGTCCATCATATAACTAATGAACTACCAACCTTATAGGGAGAATCAGTTCGCTTAGAAAAGCCCTTCTAAATCACGTGTGTGATATAAAATATACATTTTGCTGGTGATAACTTGATGTAACCTTGATTTCCCTCTAAAATATTGCAAATCATACACTAGAGCATTAGTAACGAAAGACAAAAAGTAGTAGTTTTGGACAACTATGAGACTACTTCAATCAGAAATGTGTGAGACCTAAACACACTTATTACATGTATTGAGGTAACCGACAGTAGTGTTTGTATCCCGAACACCTAATTAATAAGTAATACTAGTAAGACTAAAAGTAATCACGGAAACGTCAGTCTGTCAACATACCTTCGATCCATACTTTTTTCCTACACAATCATCATGTCTCAATGCTCCAAAACGTGTCTGTAACACATCGCCCTTTTTAAGCACTGTAGTTAGATTCTTGAAACTCCCCAAATCGATTATAACACAATCTCCATACTGCGCTACATCTTTCTGAAATGCATCGGGAGACATGACAAATTTATATGCGACGAACCACTTGTTTTATATTCGGGAAACGTGTTACTGAGTTAAAAGGAAATACGGAATTGCATTAAGTAATGACAATATTACTCTAGAAAATTAAGCATTACAAATCGGTATACTCCGAAAACTTTATCAATAGATGAACCAACAATTTATATAAGACACGAGCTCGTTCAGACCGAAGTTCATAGCTATCGCTTTAACAAAAGGTTGGAATGTTGCTGTGCTCGTACACAACTGGCCAAACTATTTGAAAATATACACAAATTCTGGAATTGTCGTAGTATCTAATATGCTTAAATAAAAGATCATAAGGCATTGACATTGCATTATGGATGAATTTCTTGACAATTCCTGTAAGATTTAGTTAAACGTAGACGTTTTACTTTAATCCTTAAATACCGAAATAGAAACGTAGAATGTGACAGAATCCAATGATGACTCCTGTTGCTGAAAATTGCTTAGAATTAAAACCACGAGAACGAAAAAGTACGACATGCATTTGAGTACAGACTTAGGCGCACACAGTAGTATATTTATAAAGTAGGCTAATTAAAAACTAATTTTAAAGACTACTACAATCGTGATTCAGTGAGAAAACTGAAGGCGGTATTCTTTTTCTCCTTCATAATCGGAAATTCATCAAAAAGCAGCTGAAGATGACCCACAATGAATGACCCAGTATACATACTTAAGGCTTGCCAGGAGAGGCTAACTGGGTTACCGGGGTAAAAAAGAATGAGCGGTCTCACTTATTTTCTAAAGCGCTGACACGAAAACCACTAACCACACATCGGCAGCCACCCACCCCCAGTGGCATCGCCCATAGTTGGAGGTCGCTGAGCACTTGAAGGTCAGACTGGCATTGAACGATTTGTGCGTCGCCTCGACAATTTGTAATGTTTACCGGAAGCGGTCAAATCAAGAGAATTCGAAAATTGGTTTTAATTTAGCCGTACTATCTAATAGCTTCCAACCTTTAAGTAATGAAAGCGAAATGGCGTGTGTTTTAAAATGGATTCGTGATTTAGTACTTGCGAATTAACTTTGGTTTTGCATGCTTGGTCTACTTCAAAGTGATCCAAATGGTTGCGGACGAAAATAGAAGAAGCTTTCACTTAGTGAGTTTCCGTATCTAGTTGCAGTGGATCAACAATATCTCCAGGCAGGAACCTAGGTATATCAGCGATAATAGAGGAAAATGAAATTGGTAAATTAAGGTAAGATATTATATTTAGTCCTTAAAAATAAGTCAAGTTTCCTCTTAAAAGACTCCTTGGAAGTCGCTAGAGCTATCTCAGTCGGCAGCGAATTCCAGTGTTTGACAACTCTTAAGGAGTAGAATATGTCTACAGTCCGTTCTGCTGTGTTGTGTCTAGTTTCTGGGTGTTACCCCATAGGTTTGTGTTGGATCTAAACTTAAGTGGGTGGTTCCGCACTCTAAATGGGGACGAATAAAACTGTTGAAGGTTATGTGGAAAGCCCTGCGGTCAAACTGGCCAAAAATGCGCATTTTTGTCATACTTAGCGTAAGACTTCAAATCGTAGGGTACCAACACTCCTAAATCTTTTGCAACTTGGGATACTTCAATAGAGGGGTTTCCTAAGTTTTAACTGTAGTCTGCAACATGTAGCAGATGGACTTCTTTGCACTTTGAAGTGTCGTCTGCCCAACTATGAAGTCGAGTCAGATCCTACTGAGGCGCATGTATATCGTCTTCGTTGCGTATCTCTCTCCAAAGTTTCACGTCTTCGGAAAAAAGTAATGTCTGACGTTACCTGTTAAGGAAGATCGTTTATGTAGATCAAGAAGAGAAGAGGTCCTAGTACTGAGCCCTGGGAGACCCCACTAGGACACTCCATAGCCTGAGTTAAAGTGAAATTAACCCTGACCTTAAAATGTCGATTTTTCATGTATGAAGTGAGCCGATCGATTAGAGGTGGTCTGATACCCAATCGTTTGAGCTTATTGATAAGACATGTATGGTTAACCTTATCAAAAGCTTTTGATAGGTCAAGGTAAATGACATTAACCTTCCCATTGTGATCAGGGATTGTTCATCCGTCCACTGCAGTCAGCAGGTTGATTATATAAGAATGACCCTTACTGAAACTATGCTGTTGGGGTGGAAGAACTTTAAAGATAATAAATAGTCATGTATATCGTCTCATATCAGGGACTCCATAATTTTTGAAGGTATAGAGAGAAGAGCCACTGGTCGGTAGCTTGACGGTTCGCTGCGTCGATCTCCTTTGAAAATTGGTGCGATGTGAGCGAGCTTCCAAATTTCCGGTAGTTTGCATCGGCTTAGCGAGTGTGGGAACATCACGCTAAGCGGTGTTGCCAGGATTGAAGCTTCTTCCCTCAGTATGGCAGAATGAACCATATGCGGACCAGGAGAAGTGTCTTTTCTTAGGTGCTGCAGTTTCCGGGACATTAAGTCAACGCTCAGGTTCACTTCGAGAAGTCCTGTGCGGTTGTCGCTGAAGCTTTCATCGATATGGCTTACGTCCGAAAGTATTGTTCAGTCAGAAGGTCCGCAGAGTCATCGTCTTTACTGGTCTGGCCATTAGGACCTAGCAGTTGCGAAACCCTAGTTTTGGCCTGTCGACGAGAGGCTGCATAACGGAACAATCTTTTTGGATTGAAGACAAATTTATCCATAAGCTTTATCTGGAATTAAAGCCTATCTTCTCTTATTGCCTTTGTGTATATATCCCTTATATGTTTGTATTGCCTGTACGCGCCGTTGTTATCAGTTCGTTTGCATTCCTCCCAACAGTGCCTTTAGCGGCTGAGCCAACGAAGGGTGCGGTTCTTAATAATTGTAGGTCGCTGGTAGATTTTGGGGAAAATTTGAAGAACAGACTGTTTTGTAGCACATAAGATCGTGTGCAGTATGAAATCCCGATGAGCATCCACATCGAGTTGAGGGTGAATTTCCGAACCCACCTGTTGTAGATTGTCCCGTAAAGCTGGCACACCCAACCACTTGAAATTCCAGCCCCTGTTGTTAGTGGGGTGTCTTAGCTCAGTTTTGCTGAAAAAATTGAAGTCTATAACGGCGTGATCGCTTCTCCCCAGGGGAGCCAGGATTGAGAGGTTGTCAACTAGGAATTTTTCTTTTGTAAATACCCAGTCTAAGCGCGACGGTGTCCGACTGTTTCTCCACGGAGTTGCTGACTTTACATTTTCGAATAATCCTCGATCCTTAATCAGGTTGAAGAACCGAGCTTCGGTAGAGTTTTCACCTCCAGTGTACGTATGCCGTTCGAAATTGACCTTAGGAAGATTGAAGTCCCCTAGAATCAGGATATGAGTGAATCCGAGACGCGTAGAGCGGGATAATCCTTCCAGCATACGGTTGTCGTACTCGATGTCAGCATTGAGCTTCCTGTAGATAACTCCAACTAGACACCTCGAGGTGGTGGACAATCGTACTGAGCACCAAACGGATTCATCAAGAATAATAAACTTGTAGTGGCATTGGACAATAACCACACAATCTGCAAAGCTGGATACGAGATTGCTCAGAAAATAGATATTCACTATTTAACGCGGAGAAATACCTAACGAATGGAGAGGCGCGAACAATGAATTGGACGAACTGGAGTTCATCGAATGGCATGGCTCGGCCATGCAGGCGTGGTCCCTCTGAATGTTACCTTATATCTCTTATTCATATTAAATATATTGTTCCTTCTCTAGCCTAACCTTCTTCTACATCATGTATTGGTAATTGATACGATACAGTGAGTTGGTGTAGTCGATGGTGTGACTTCCACGTAAGATCTTATCGATTAGGCAGTTATATCATGACAAATCTACAAATTTAGGATTAGGTCTATTATTAGATCAGTACTAATATCACAGTAGACCATAGTTCTACGTTGGTGAGCCCGACGTGATACGAACACGCAGTTGTGCAGTTGATTTACCTTCAGGCATAATGGCAGGTATAGGGCTACTCCACCCGCAATCCCTGTTTTTCTGTCATTGAGAAACATAGACATCCGGGTATAGCTAGCTCCTGGTCCGTGAACTGAGAAGTTATCCAAGTTTCAGACATTCCTATCAGATGCGCACTACTAGCATTCCAGAGTTCATGTAGCTCATCCATTTCATTCGGTAAACTCGAGGTGTTCATGTATAAGCAGTTTGTGCTTTCAATTTGAAACGCGTGAGCTTTTCCTTTCCGCTTGTCTGTATGACATTTACGTGAATGGACAAGTAGCCTACCTATACAAGGTTTTCCGAGTTGATAACTTTAGCCTGAATCATTTCTCTTGAGGTTTGAAGATATTGGATACTCAGAGTACTACGAATTGTAAGGTTTAATTTAGGTGTGTGTGTTTCAAAAAAAGCAGTGATTGTCTTTGCTTTTGTGTACTGGTTACATCAAAAAGCATTCTTGGTCTACTTTAACTCGAAGTATTTCGGTTAAGGCTTGAAAATCTGCCAAACTTCGTCTTGTAGTACGTTCCTTCTCAGTGACTCTGACACCTGTGTTCAGATTGTATTTTAAACCTTCTTCTTATCTGATTACAATGGTTGGCAGTACATATAAATGAGAACAGCCAAATTGTTTATTACTCGTGGAGACAGGAATGCAATACAATAAGTATGAAAAGTGATTCCAATAGGATGTGTACCCGTTTAAGTCTCACCACATACAAAAGATGTTTGACGCCTAACTCTCACTGGCTCTGTATGTTTCGTTGTATCGAATAGTTAGGTCTTGAAAGCAAATGCTACCACGGCCTGTGTGGATAAGCCGTTCTCCCTGGAGTTTAGTTTGTAGTCTAAGAAATAAATTTTACGAACTAGGAGCGTTAGTAGACAAATTAAGGCCAACTGTTGTGACTATGGAGGGAACTTGGTTAGTCAACGACTTCGACATTACTCCAGAATTATCCGGATACCATTACCTAAGAAGTGACAGACACAGATGTAGGAAAGAAAGTGGTGTCCTTTTATACATAGCCAA